TTGTGAAACGTCGTCTTTCGTGAAATTTTCTTTAATGATGTTTAAATAACTAGAGAGTAGTGTGATTTCATGTCGTACTCTTAAATGTTTAGATGTTTCTGTCGGTGAGACATTTGTTAATGGGAGTTCATTTTCTAATATCGAAATATAACTATATATTAGTGCGAAAACTTCATTGGTGAAAATGGAGTTTGCTCTTTGTGAGTTATGGTATTGTATGCTTTTTATATATTCTGAAAAAACTTTTGAAAATTCTAAATCAAGGTCGTCTGTTTGAATAGTGTATGTTCTATTATTATGGTTTGGGGAAGTGAATTCTATAGAGTAGATTCCATATTGTTGTGTTATGTTGCATATATCTTTTAGATAGTGATCTATGATTTGTCTTTTGATTTTTACATCGGGGAACTCTGTTTTACATGGACTGATTCCGGGTTCAAATAAATTTACGAGTAAATTTTGACAAAATATGTGTTGTCCTCTATCAGTATCTGCATCTACTATAAAAGGAAAGATTTCATCATCATCTGGAGTTTCGTCACCTGGGGTGTGCGTTGAACTCATTTTTTCGTTCGATGACTGTTAATATGTAATTATTAATGTGTCGAATTGGTTGATTCCAGTTGTATAGATGTACTGGTTTGTGTTTATACTGCTTTTTTATTCTTCTTTTTCCTCTTTGTGATGAATTTGAAGTTGTTTCTGAGTCAGAAAAATATAATTGATCGTGTTGTGGGTAATTTTTATCTATTGATTCTTTTAGTTTGTAGAGTTCGTCTAAACTGTTGGTTTCTGATTCTGAAAATGCGTTTCGATTTTTTGAAAATCTTTTTCGTGTTATTTGTCTTTGTTTAGTGATTATTTTTCTCTTTAGTGTTTGTCGTTTTGTTCGAATGTATCCAACTGTTTGTGTATGAGGTGTGATTACAAGGTCGTATTTTTTGTTATCTATTTCACAATTGTGTAAAACGATTGTTTGTTTATTCCCTAGGTTTTTAAATGACATAAGGTTTAGGATGACGGGTGCAAAAGGTTGTTAAATGATTTCTATTTTCCTAAACTGTTAGTTCTTACGATTTTTTGGTTAGCTTAACCTGGGTCTATTTGTTTAGGGTTGGAGAGAAAAGTATATCGATTCCGAAGAATGATTTTTACTTTCTCGTGACTAGTATAAGCTAAGGTGTTAACTTACTTAATCTTACTTAGGGGTAGTGATTGTGTTCAAGGGTTGGAGAATAGTAAATCGATCCACAAGGTTCAGGTATAATTAGAACGCGAGTAGTTCGTTAGATACTATTTTAAACTTACTAAGTCTAAGATTTATCCTGGGTCTGGTAAGAGGGGGGATCAAGTGAAGGATGAATAACCGAAGTTCTTCACTGTTTATCCTAATTTGAATGATTAGTTTTGTTTAAAAATTTCTATTAGTCTTGGGTCTTTAGAAAGGGTTGGGTAGTGAATCGACGTTTGAGGTCGTTAGACACTAATTAAGTGGGTGGGGGAGAACAAAGTTGTTCTGTTTGATCCAAGGATAAGCCTTGATGATCAAATTTAAAATGTAATGAAGTAGAAAATGATTTAAGATCCAAGGATAAGCCTTGATGATCTGGTTTTAAAATTAAGTGACTTTAAGTTTTAATGAGGTTTTAAATTTGTGTAAAGGAAAGATTTAGTATTTTATGATATTAGTGAGTTGATGATTGCTGTTATGTTTTAGGTGATGAAGCTGGAACAACAGGATGATTTATGATTACTAACCATTTATTGTCATGCTACTAATTTTTATTTTTATTTTCCAATAAATATTTTTCAAACATGTTTTGTATAATACTGCAGAATTTTAGGAAAACGATCTTAGATCTTTTTATCAATCGTTATTGTATAATATTAATTTTGTTTAGCGCCTGAAATGATTTTGAAGATTTACTTCAAGGTTTTATGTTTGCAAATGGAAATCTAAATTCATTGCAAGTAGTATTCGAAATATAAAAGTTTGTTCTGGCTTTTGCCGAACTATCATGTAACTATACGGCAAGTTTCTACTTTGTCGTATGTCGTCTTTGGTTCGATGTCTTCTTCCAATTCCGGGTAGTTCTATTATGGTTCGGAATATTGGCTCGGATCTATTGAGTCGGAGAGACATTTCAATTAAATTATTGTCGTATAACATTTTGTAAATGTTTTTGTCTAATTTCTAATCTAATTTTGGTTAATTCTAATCTAATAAGGTCTTGTTCGAGACTTATGGTCGCACCAGATGAGTTAGGACTGGAGTGTAACTCATAGAGTAATTTCGGATAGGGTACACCGTCTGCTCGTCACGCTATCTTATTTTCGGCCGGATAGATTCGTGCAACTTCTTAGTCTAATACCGATCCTAATCTTACTCTTATACTATCTAGTCTCAGGTTGTTTAACTAGTCTCTGCTAGGCTCAATAGATCTAGGGTATACTGGTTTATTGCGGCTGCTGAAGTGCTCGGGAGAGTCCAACTAATTTCTAAGTTAAATTCAAATCTCTCTGGTGCTGAAATTACAAGTAACTTCAGCACTTACAAATAAGTGGGTTGTTAGTTAGATGGATCATGATTGGTTAATATTAAATACTTTACATTGGTAAAACATTTAATTTATCCAATCATAAAATATAGTTTAGATCAGGTTCCAGTTCGTAAAATAATCTTTTTTTATCAGAGAAACTCGGGTGCCGCCAGCCTCATTGAGATGGGAAAAAAATTTGGTCAAAAACAGATGACATTTAACTAAACTAAAACAAAAAGAACTTCAAAATTCTTTAAAAAACTGCCGGTTTTTGTGCAAGAATCAGTGAAGATTTCAAACGCTGTTATTTTGAATCATGAAAAAAAAAGAGAATTAGAAACTTTTTAAAGCATTATAAAAAAATTTAATTGCTTGACAAGTTATGAAAAAAACTAATTAAAATAAATACCAAATTTCCGATTATATTTCTTTGTTTTCTTAGGATTCTTTTAGCAAAACAGAATTCTTGGCGCCAGAAATCTACTACTAAATGCATCTTAATCAGGCATTTTCTCCAGCAAAAAAAGTTTAAAAGCTATAAAGATCCATGGCTAGGTCTTTCAACTTTGCACTATTTGCTTGCTTTTTAACTCTAAATTGATTTTTTTTTAAATTTTTAGTTACGTGTTTATTAGTTTTTTTTTCGATATGGCCATTTCCGATAACTTATTGGTGCTATAGTGCCAGTTCCTTTTTGTTCGGCCTACTTAATCGTTACAAAAATTTACCATCCTCTCTGTCGAATCTATTTAGGGCGAGGAAATTAACTTTGCTCTAAGTTGGAAATTTCAACTTACAAGAATCGAGCATTTTATACGCGGCGCTAAACAAGTTTATTCGGAGTTAAATGCTGAGGTGGCGGATCTTAACTTTGTTAACATTATTTAAAAGTCTGCACGCATACATAAACCATTTGTAGCAAAAATTGTTTTATCTTAACGGTTTCATTTATAGACAATCGTATATGGCTTCTGTGGAACAATATTCGATGCGAGGTGCGGTCTTATATTTTGGTCAACCCCGTAACAAGGAAACTTCTGCCGTTAATCCATTCCTAGAGCAAAGTGTAGAGTAAAACTTATGTCAATTTCTTGCAAGTATAACCCTAAATTTCTTGTATGGACGAACTATAAAAACAAAATATTAACATCGAACGGTTGAACTAATAAACGTTTCGAACGATTTTCTTATTTAACCATTAAGCGACGCAAAATGCGCGAATAACTGAACTTTTGCTGAAACCATTTAAAAAATGTTGCTAGCTAACTCTTGTTGTTTGAATAATGCAATAAATATTGATCAACGGTACACAAGCATTACCTTTAAACGGATTCTATGAGCTCTCCTAAATCACTATAAAACCCCATTTTGACCAAACTGTCTGCGCAGCAGGCAAACCTTTGAAAAACAGGCGGTTTTTGGCACTTTTTGAAAACTTTGACCAAAAAAGGCGGTTTTTCGGCTCGCGCTCCCCCCTCAAAAATCAGTGTATATTGGTGCTAAAAGCGCCTTTATAACAATTTTAGCGTTAGTTAGCCAAAAATGGACATCTCCAAATAGTACAAAGGGGGAACTTTTGGGTGGGCAGGGGGTCGAATCCCTGAGAGGAAGCGTCCAAACCGACCAAACCTGCCACCCTTATTCCGCTGGTGCTTTAAATCACTTATTGCATAATTTGAGGCATTTATTATAGTGGTAAGGCGTTCACTCTGAAGTCGTCAGATCGTGTGTTCGATCCCGTGACATAGCAATGAAAATGTGCGAGGACAAGCTCTCACTTAACCTCTATCTTTATGCCTACCAAAAAATTGGTAGGCTGGCAAATTGGTACCACCGCTGAAAATTAGGCTGGAAAATTGGTACCACGTGAAAAAAAAACTGCCTAGAGTCGCATGAAAAGACCTTTACTCAACAAAATAACTCATATGGAATGTGGGGAGATAATAGAAATGGGCTATCATCGACAGGACTCTTAAGGCATACTGATAGCTCCTCTGCGATTCGCAGAAACCACACAAATAATATTGTTATTGAATGAGTTGAGTTGACAGTTGCTTTTTCTAAACTGAGCTGAAGTCCTCGACTTTCTGTCGCGGAACTCAGTGATTCCAGGGCAATCTCGGCTTTCCTGGTGGAAGTCATCAGTTGATGGAGCCTTCCGGGAAGTCCAGGATATCCCTGGATACTTTAAGTGCCTGGCAAGAAGGTGACTCATGCAGCAATCCCTAAAAATTTATCAACGTCGAAAACTATCTGTTGCTTCACACGCAAAGTTTCGTTGTCATAAAATCGGAAGTTTGCAGGTTCAGAAGATGACATCGTTTAACATAATTAATGGCTTCAGGGTTTGCATAAGCTGAAAAAGTGAAATCAGTTAAAAGTTTTCATCGGAATTAACTAAATTCCTTAAAATCGATGTCATTTCCAATAACTTAGACTAATTTTTTCCCTTAATTTCAGTAACATCACGGGATCCGCAACTGCTCAAAGTCGACGATATCGGCATAACCACCGCGTCGATCTGTTGGCTCGTCGGCTCAAACCCCATGCTACAAGACTTCCACCTGATCATAAACCCACTTGAAATAGAATACCCCGGCGGACCTTCAGAGCCGATGATTTACGACGCCGCCCGGGCTCTGAATTTGAGAGAGAAGGCCTGTTATGAAGTTAAAGAGCTACAAGGGGGCACAGAGTATACAGCTAGGTTGACATGGCGTGACTCGGTCTACAAACAGCAGTATTCGATTAGTAATGTCACTTTCAGAACAGAAGAGAATCGTAAGTTCAGCTGAAAGTTTTCGATAAAATATTTAAAAATTTTTAAGCTACTTCAAAACAGTAGAAACAATTATTTTCAACAAATGTTAACGCCCGTTAACGCCCGTTAACGCCCGTTTTTATCGCACAAGATGATCACCCAAATATATCTCAATGTTTTCTAGCTTCGCAAAACATCTTCAGTCTGTGCACGGCTAAGAGGCACTTAAAGAACCGTTTCAGGCCTAAGGCTGAAAAAATACTAAAGAATTTTCAAAAAATATATTCAAAAGTTAATACAAAGGTTCCCAAAACTGAAACATTTCAATTCTTTCCCATAAATTGAGCCACTTCAAAACGGTAAGTGATTTTTATAACACCATTTCATCAAAGTTTATTGAACAGAAAAACAATAGCATTCAGAATTCCTTAATTAAGTTTACGACAGCAATATGCCTTTTATTTGAAACCAATCGCACCACAAAAGCGGCAAATAGACATTTCAACGCGTCAGGGTTCTATCTGCAGGGCTTTTTGGTCGTAAAATATGAAAAAATGTAGATAAACTTTAATCGGTCAACCAACATATTTACTCGGAAAGGTTTTGTTGTAAAATCAGAAGGAATTTAGAAGTGATCAAACAGATAATTAGATTACATGGAATCAAAAACGATTAACTCGAGGCGTTTTGTTGCTGCTGTTTTGATTTTTAGCTTATTAGATACAAAAGGTTTTAAAATGGAGCTTAAACCTAATGAATGAAAGGTCAATTAGACAAAAAAAATTCATGCCGGAATGAAAAAAAAACATTTTTTTTTGTTAATACCAAATCATTAAAAGTTTTCAGGTTTTTTTTTAAAAAATTTTGCATTACAAAATTCAACCCTAGAGAAATTGGGCTTCCCCGGTTTGTTTTTCATGAAATAAAATTTTATGAAAAACAAACCTTTAATGAAATTTTGCTTTAATGAAAACTTTACTATACTACTCTCAATACTGCCAGCTAAAAATTAAAACGAAAAATTATCAAAGAGTAAAAACTTTGTTTGGGACAGCTAAAAACCTGCATCGAGCGCCCATGGGTCATAATCGACTATATTGTCATTGTATAGTCATTACCTATGAAATTACAAATCAACCGGTTATATTCTATTAACAATGGATTACAATCTTATTAATTCTTAAGTCAATATGATAAATTAAAATCCGTTTTAATGGATTATCTGGGAGATTATTAATGAAAATTATAATATTGCTTTAAGTTTATATCATTTTTTGTTTGGTGCTTCTGCTACAAATTAGTTTTCATAGTTTTTTTTGCATATTTAACATTTTAACTAGTTTTTATAAATTTATATTAGTTCTACTTTTTCAATTCTCAATTTATGGCATTTTAACATTTATTTTTTTTTACCACAATCGCCATTCACCCAACGCCCTCGCCCACCCTCACGTTCAATTTCAGGGTCTAAGCTTAACGACTGTAATGAACTATAACGTTTTTTTTTGTTTTTGTTTCGGAAGTCCTTAATAGTCGATGGTGGAAAAAGCGTTGTTCTTCAGAAAATGACCCAGCCATACACGTGGCTGGAAAAAACTATGGCGTTGGGTGCACTTTGTCCATGCTGTTTAAGTATATCAAAAAATTTTGCAATGGAACTACTGTGGCATTATTGTTAATCAAAAATTGATTGTTCAAGTTAATAATTTTAATAAAAAGAAGACAATATCTCAATCTCGATAAAAACGGGTCTGAATATGTTCGTTTTTCAGAACAATTGACAAAGAAATTTGTTTCAAAATTGTATTTCAGTCCAAGTTTTGTATTATGACCAATTTGCTGCAACGGTCAATTAGTAAATCCCTGAAAAATTAGTAGACCAAACTCAAAACAGAAGAAAAAATTGGTTGTTACAAAAAGTTTTGCTATAAAAAACGCGATTGAATTATTATGCTCTACTTTTTCTCAAATTGGCTATGTTTCGTTTGGCTTCAATGTTTGGAATGTTTTGAAAAGACGTATTTTTTTCTGAAATTTACTTGGTATATGTACCATTTTCTCAAAGAAACTTATTTCTTTGAATTTAAATAAAATGTTCAAAGAAAGTGAACAAAAACAAGAGTTACCGCAAAATGAGCAAGACGAGCGTTTTGTTAGCTAACTCAAATTGCTCTATGAACACCATAGTTTTTTTTTCGCACTGCTTAGAGTAGTCGAAACAAAAAAGAGCAATTTTAGGCAGTGAGAATCTTATAAGAGTAAAATTTGTAAATGACGAGAGAAGAACTACCTTATCTTATCAAGTTTTTCGATAATTTTTTTTGTAAAAAAAAAACATTTTAGATTCTAATGGTTGGTTCGAATACATTTTCAGGCATATCGAAAAGAACATATTAATTGAAAAAGACTGAATTTTAAGATAAAAATGAGCACTATTTTGTGACACCTTTTAACAGCGAAGCAAAAATGGAATGTTAGACAAAATTGACTCGTTTCTCAAATATTTGAATGGAGTTTATTTTTCTCTTTTTCATTAATGCATAGAATTGTCAGAATAGAATCCACTTACTGCAAATTTATTGACACTCTCATTTATTGTTTGTAAATTTTATCCTGTTGTCACGCTTAATTTGTTTTTGCTGCTCGCGTATATTCGTTAGTGTAGATGAAATCAAAATTTTTCTTTTAAAGGAAAATATGTTTCAATTCATCCAAAAACTTAAGAGAACCTTGCGGAACAAAAATTTTCCAATTTTTTTCAGCAAAACACTTTAATTAAGGATTATTATACGAAACCAAGATAAATTATTTGGTAAGGCTAGACTGCAATGATGAAATATTGAAAACATTGATTGACATTTTTTTCAAAAGATATATTTGACCACAACTTTTGAATTTTAAAAAAAGAATTTTGCTTTTAGAATACAGTCATTGCTTGACATTTTTGCTGCAAAAAAGCTTCGCGTAAAATAATCTGCTCATTGAGACATTCAGTGTAACAAAATTTATAGAAAAAGTGTGTCAAACAATTGGGGGGTGCAATTTGTAAAAAGTTTTCCGACAAAATCTCTTTTCATCAAACTGGCATTAAGAAACGCAAACTTATTCCACAGATTTTAAAATATCGAAGTTCTAAAGTTCAATTTGAGGTAGTTTCTCTTGTCATAGGTTTCTCAAAACTTTTACTGCTGTCTTGTAGTTTTGGTAGTTTTTTGTAGCTTAGGTTTATAATTTCTCCCAACAGTTTACCAGATCTTGAACAGTCTTTAAAATGTTCTGGGAATGCTCGGAAAATCTATTTAGTCGACCTAGGAAACGATCGACAAAACTTGCGAAAAATTATTGAAAATCCGCTCCCCCCTCGAGATCAGCCCCTGTGTTGAAATGCGAGATAATTGCCATCGACCTTACTGAGCGTCCCTATAAAGATAAAGAAAACCTTATAAATTGTCTTTAAAATACTTTCTGGCCAAAGACGGGTCTGCTCTAAGGGCATTTTCTGAACAGAGAAAATCGTCTGCTGTAGATAATAAACTTGAAAAGTAATTATGAGTTGCATTTGAGCAAAAAAAAAAGCCGAACCTTGCCTGGGCAGTCAAAAGCAGGGCATCTAAGAAAACTTTTTATCAATTTAAAAAACCTTTTTTTACAAGAGTTTATCTCATTTTCATTCAATTTAAGTGGACGCATGTAGTAAAACAATTACTTTGTCTCAACTTGGTCATCGTTTTCCTGTCAGAATAAACTCATTTTGTTTTTGTTTTGATTGATATTAACTTCCCGGGTTGACCTCCATAGACCAAAAATGCTAATCATACAATTCCATAAACTAAGTCTATGAAAAAATACTAATCATACAAATTTCATACATTTTGCTAAAATGTTGTCGCGAATTTTCGAAAAAATTTTCTCTTGTTTTGGCATAAAATTCGGTGTATCGTACTATATAAAAAGAAAATTTTTTGTCAAAAAAAATGCTAATCATGCAATTTCCATATATGGAAAATGTATGACCAGCATTTTTTTGACGGCGACGACAAAAATTTTTCAAAGCATTTTTGAAATTGCCCCCAAAAATTTTTTCGGTTTTTTTTCAATTGCAAATTGATGTGCGTGCTCGAACAAACAATTTTTGAAAAAAAAAATTTGCATGCAAAATTTAACTTTTTGTGTGTATAACGTAGTCTTAGGTATACTAATATTGGATTTTTTTCCTTTTCTCTTCATAACTTTTTTCAAAAACGTTTAAAACTTATCTTTCTTTTGAATGACATGTTTTTGTATGCCTTGATTAATGTCTGGTAATTTAAAAATTCAAATTTTAGAAATAATCATCTTCGAAAATATTTGCCAAAATTTAAAAGTTCGTTACTTTCGTTATATTATTTGTGTGAAACAGAGTTGAAACATTTCAGGCTGTTTCCAATGCAATTTTAATGCGAGACGGCCAAACCTTTGGTTACTGCGTTAGAGTAACCAAGGTGTATGTCAGTTGTGTTCGCTTACGAACACAATCAAACAATTTTGAGAAATTAAAATGTAAAAAATCAATATTTTTGGTTTATGGAAAAATGCTAGTTATACAATTTCCATATATGAAAAAATACTAATCATAGACCTTTCAAGCAATTCATGCAATCTGTACTTATGGAATTGCATGAAAAGTGTATGATTCGCCTTTTTCCATATATGAAAATTGTATGACTAGCATTTTTGGTCAACCCGGGTTATAAGTTCAAAGACTGAAAACAGAAACGAATCAATGTCTTTTACCGAGCCTATCTGCGCAAAAAGTCTGTTCAAATGGTTTTCTTCAAGAGTTTCTAAAGACTTTTGAAACTCAAATATAAGAGTGCCGAACTTTTTCAAGAGTAGACACTGCACGGGCTTGGAAGCAATAAACGGCGAGGTGAAGGCAACGAAACTCCTATGTTTACGTCAGAAAATTTTGCAAGCGAGTAATTACACGGCAATTAGTTAAGGTTTTAAAATATTTTATCTGTTTTACAGATGCAAACCTTGAGGAATTGATGAGAAAAAAGGAAACTAATTAATTTCCAAAGCTGTTAAGCTTAGGCCATTTTATTACAGTTCTGAGGATAAGTGTTTTTTGTTACTTCAGCACTCGTCAACACCTTCTATTTTCAATAGGTTAACATTTAAGAAAAAAATAAATGAAAAATTTTTGTAAATTAGTTCGAGTTCTTAAAAAATTTTTTTAATTGTTACCACGTAAGTTTTTCATTTTCTTTGTTGCTATGTAAATTGCAAAATCGTAAAGGTTTTCACTTAAATTAATGGTTTGCAGTAAACAACTCTTCTCGTCAAGTATTTGTAGATAACTAACACTCAGTGAGATTTTTTTGGAACAAGCTTTTGCTGAATTTTTTTTTGCTGAATTTCTTTCAGTCCGAGCTACTCCCAAATTGAAGAGCTTCTTTGAAACAGGAAATATAGATTGGAAATGCTTACATATCAATCGAGAGTTTTTTCGAAGATTATGTCAAATTTGAGTGCATAATTGTTCCATTGGTCTTTCTTTTAGCTTGCAATGCTTTCGGTTGCGTGTCCGGAAACTGTCAAATGGCTATCAATGACGGAGGAAAAATAGACGTGTCCTGTGTTTGCTTTCTCGGCTATTATGGCCATCGATGTGAATTACACAACCCCTGTATCCTCGACCCTTGCGATGATTTTCCTTGTTCCAACACGTCAACCAACACATACAATTGCATTTGTCCGAATGGTCGTGAAGTCGACAGCCCTGAAAAATGTCGGCATATTAAACCATGTGACGAAGAACCTTGCGGCTTGAACGGAATTTGTAAGAATGAAAACTCGTTTGATTTCACGTGTCAATGTAATGACGGGTATTTTGGGTCAAGGTGTGAACGAATGAACCCATGCAACCAAGTTAATTGTCACAATGGCGGGAAATGCGTGAATGAGACGAATACGAATTTCCATTGCGACTGTGTTCAAGGTTTTATGGGTGAGTTTACTTTTGAAATTTCCTTGACCTTGACCTCGTTCTATCTTTAAAATTACTTCATACCAAACTCGAGAAAGTTGGTAAGAATTGCATAACGTTTACTAAAACAGATTCGTTTATTATTCGTTGAACTGAATGATGATTTTTTGACCTTTTTGGACTTTTTTCTCCAGCTTATTTGCAATCGTAGCTTATTTGAATTTGACACCGTAATTCGCCAATTTGGTCCTGGCTTTGTCTATCAAACCCCAACAAAGGAACAGCCATTAGGTTTAAAATTTCAAAAGATTTACCAAATATAGTCATTTTGGCCCTAATTAGAGGAAATAAAGAGGGAGGGTGTCTGGGGTTTGCTTTATACATTTATCTACTCCTTTTTGAATATACGCGGTGGGATTTTTAATCACTTCTTAAGCAGACAAATCACCTAAATTGATTTGAACTAAAAAGACAAATATAGACTGAAGATGTATTTAGGATGCATTTATACCTGATCTTGAAAATTTATGAGTATTCATTATTTTAGGGCTCAAACCAATTCAATTGACAGATAAAAAAATTCAAGTACGCAATAAATCTTAACGAAAAATTTGTTCACTGCATTGCTTTAAGGTCCTTTTTGCGACCAACGGAACCCCTGCGACCGGGATCACAACCCTTGTCAGAACAGTGGAAAGTGCATACCAGATAATTCCAATCTACGAGGATTCATCTGTCAATGCGACCCTGGATTCTCTGGTAAACTTTTCACACGATATTAAAAAGATTTTAGTTTTTTTTTGGTTTCGCCAAAAATTTCAGCGGGCATCAAGCCAGGCCATATGATTAAAAAGAGACTTTTGACAGTTTTAGCCTAAATTATGAAGAAAAAGAAATATTTTGATGAGGAAATCACATGGTTGCAGAAATATTTTAAGATTATCCTTACAAATACAAAATTATCCAGATATAATATCAAGGTTGCCAAGCGTATAAGCCCGCGTCTTTTTCTTAACCCCGAAATCAAACCCAGAATTAGATAAACTCAAATATTCTTAGGTTAATTAGTGAAGTTATCAATATTCACAAAACTTGAATCACGTGAACGCGAGTTTAATTAATAAAAAAATTACGGCACCACGCAAACTTATACCAGGCCTCTGATGTCATTTAGTTTACTGGTAACCAAAGTCCTAAAAACACAAGTTTTTTATGTGTATGAAATCATTTAAGAAGTATAACATTTGATCTCTGCTTTATTCTATTCTGAATTGTTCCTTAAAACCTTTCTTTGTTCCCATTTTAGTTTCGAACAAATTGCCAATATTTATTTTTTTTACTTAAGCCCACTTGTGTTTCATAGGCACTCTGTGTGAAGAGAATGACCCTTGTGCTTCTAATCCCTGTAAGCCTTTCGAGTGTGTGCCCCAGGATAACTCAGAGTTCATGTGCAAATGTCCCCCTCGCTACTATGGAAAAGTCTGTCAACACGAGTAAGTAACACTCTTCAGAGAATAAATACAGAATTCAAGTGCAACTTGAAACACATATGTCCCCATGTAGCTATGGACATCTAGCGTTGAACGTTTTGTGTTTCAAATTGCAAATCCATATAGCTGAAATATGCCCGCAGCCGCAGTGCTGGCTAAATTTAGAACACTGTACCCTAAATCCACAAAAAGTTCACAGCGGAGTTCAAAAAGTTCAGCCCACAGTTCAAAAAAATTTGACCATCAGCTACAATTTTTACAAGAAAACTTTTTAAAAATTTGGTTGAATATTGTGGTCATTTCGTGGAATCCAAAACAAGTGAGAAATGGATTGACAAAATTTCAACTTTAATAGTTTCAGAAGACTGTGATAACCAAATTGTTTTATTGTTATATCTCCTTTAAAAGTCACAGTTTTTATCAGCAGAGGATTTAAGGAGGGGAGGGGTGGGCGCTTGCGCTGACTCAGGGATTCGACCCCCTGATTACCCAAAGGGTCCCTTCCTTAATACTATATAGGAACTCCTCTTATGGCCAGCTGACCGTAAAAGTTTTGTAAAGGCACCTTCAGCGCCAATGTAAACTATTTTGGAGTGCAGAGTGCGCGCCAAAAAAAGCAACTTTTCAGTCAAATGTGTCCAAAAAGTGCCTGAAAACGCATTTTTGGCCTGTTTTTCCAAAACAAATTGCTGCGGTGCAAAAATTTGGCCAAAACAGGGTCTTGTTAGTGGGATCAAGTTAACATGCTCCCTCCCAGACAGACTAATTTAAGCTCTTCCACCCCAGCCTTTAATTCCTATTAAATTTTCTAAGCGCTACCTGTAAAATGCCTGATTCTGATTAGAGAATCAAATTAACACCCCCCCCCCCCCAACGGCTCTGGGGGAAATTTTAACTTGTCCTTATAATGATTTGGGAAAGCCGACAAGGTTTTAAAAATTTTTTGAAAATCTACCCCTCTTGAGAAAGTCCTCCCCTGGAAATCCGCCCCAGGTCCTTATAGTTTTTCTATAGAATTCACCTTTTTGGCCAAAATCGATAGCTTGCTTCTAATTTTTCCGAAAAAAGGTATATGCCGAGTATAGCTAGCATTTTTTTTTTCAGATGATCATAGTTTATAACCGCTATAACCTCTACTGTAAAGAGCAAATCGTGCGCGCTCTTTGTGTTTGCATAGCGAAAAGTGCAAACAAAGCCATCTATTATTGATCCGATGATGTTGGATGGAGATTTTTCAAGTGTTGTTTTTCCTCACGATAGCAGATGCTCTATGCAAATTTCTAAAGAAGCTGAGTGATTTTTCGTAAAAAAAAGTCCATTTCAGCCGTGATTCCACTTGTAAAGAAAAACCCAGAAAAATTATCCTAGTTTCACAAAAACAATTTGAAAACTGTAACTTTCAGATTGCTCTGAAGCAAGAAATCACTAGTAAAAATTATTACACTTTATCTTTTAAAAGATCTATTAAATTTTTTTGTAGTGCACAAATATATTGATAACCTTAAGGGCAGCTAAACTTGATTATATACGCTTGGCTTATTATAAAAACATGCAAAATTCGCAATGAAAACACTTTTTTGCTAATAGTCCATGTTAATAAAGACTACATCTTAGACATTTCCCTATACGTTTTTAATTTTTAAAACAAGATGAACACCGTTCAATAGTTTCTATTTTAAAAACTAGAATCAAAAGACGCAAATATAGTTAATTTTTTAAATTTAGGAGTTTGTTTAGATTCTTCAGAGTTACACACGCACAAAAAAAGAACTCTAGACATTAGGTCACAAACTTTGAACTTAGAGCAATACCTGTTCATTTTTGAGACTTTTGTAAACAATTTTTGCAAAGTATGTTACACAGACCGCTTTGCAAACAATGTTTCACTCACTTTTGGATCGCTAGGGAAGTATCAGAAATTGTTCAATCACTGTTTGCTGTTTGCTGTTTTGTTGAAAAAACCAAACTCTGACAAAATTTCTGCTGTTTCCTTGGTGATAAGATTTGAAAAGGTTCTGAAATACTTAGCAAATTTAAAACAGTATTTAAATGAGAATTGAGGCTACACTTTTTTTCGACAAATGAAAATGGGGATAAATTTTGTATTCGGGTGAGTTTTAGTGTTTTTTCTTTTTTTTCCATGCCAAATCAGATAACACAAATAACAATTGGAATGGAACGAATGTTATATCGTATAAAAGTGCTTGTAGTTTTTATTCAAAGGACCATAAGAAACTCTGAATAAATTGTTCTCAGTGTCGAGAAAAACTCATTTGCAACTTTTGTTTCTATTTTTGAGCGAAGTACGTGAGCGAGCTGGATTTTTTGTTTTTTTTTTCAACCAAAAGCATTTACCACAAATAATCATATAATTGTGAAGAGTGAATTATCATGAAAAAAAAACCTTTTAGTCCTGAAGCGTTCAAGTAAAAATTTTCAAAAAATTCTCTGGTGTCGAGAAAAACAGGTTTTAATTTTATGGTTTTTTTAATTTGAAGAAAATAAAGCAAGCAAGCAGGCCTATTATAAAAAATTAGGCATGGAATTTATTTTTTTTTCAGCAAATTGGTTTTTTGAAATTTTATATTGCCATTTTGGATTAGAAAACCTCAATTAAACAATCAAAACAGTTTCTGCCAAAAAAAATGTTTGTGAATTTTTGTTTTGTTTATTTTTTTTAGTCATTTTTCAACAAAAACCAATTTGCTTGTTTTACTGTGATTATTGAAAACGCCTAAATGTTAGATTTTGTCATATTATTTCATCATACCACGCACAGCAAACAACACTAAATTGAGAAAAAAGCATGAAAAGGATTTTTTTAAAGAATGTGGTCAAAATGTTTTGTGATATTTGCTCAGCAACCGGATATTTTTGTTTAAGTTGTAAAATCATGACTGAATATTTGAAATATGATACCAGACTCGATTTCTTGCAAAATTACTGAAGGTCCCTGATGTAATGTGTCAAAAACATACCAACCGGAATCCAGTTTCTCATTTCTCGAACTGGTCGGGGCAATTATACATATTCTAGTATGCTGATTTTCAAAAAACTTCGATTATATTGATTTGAATGTTTTATAAATAATCGGGTTCATTACAAACGTAAAGGGAGATTTTTCAGATTGTTTTTTGAGGCGGGATAATGGTACTTACAATAAGAATATTCAAAGTTCACAAAGGTTGACGGGCAGACAATCAAAAAAAAATTGAACAAAAACTTAGACGGTAAAGACTTATGTCAGCTGCAGCTTCGAGAGTATTGCATTTTAATTTAGATTTAAAATTCATAATTGTCATTTTAACGATGAAGCAATTTTGATGACGCACTTTTTGTTGACTCTCGATATGAAGTCTACGTCATGATTTTTCTAATCATGTAGTTGAAGGCTTTCAAAAACATCAAATTACCATTTCTGTTATTTTATAGTTCCCCTTTTTACATGTTAACGACGGAAAATTCTTTTGAAATTCATATAAGAATATCATAAAAACAATATATCATGAATACTAAAAGTCCCTTTACAGTAGTTTAAATTTTTGTAAAGGGTTGCTTAAATAAATTTCAGCCCGATGTTTTATGCTTTTACCGAGCAGAGTTGAGGTTTTTTCTATGCTTTTAGAAAAAAACATTTTATTGAGAACAATTTTTTTTTGTAAAGTTTTTTTGAGTAAGTTTATAGATTCTCAGAAACTGATACAGCTACCTTTTCGTAGTGATTGTCTGTGACTTTTTGACTATTGTTTTAATTAGTATTTGATTCAGTTTCAATGCATTCATAATCTTTTCAGTTGTTTTTTTTAAATAGAGGATGACTTGTCGCCATTAAATGATTCAGGTTTTATGGTACTTTTACATGGTTACGAACTCAAAACAATTTGCGTCAAATTTTGTTCTTTTCATTGTAGTTTGAAGGTGTTTGATATCTGTTCAAAAAACACAAATCAGAGCTGTTTATGATCCCGTTAAATATCTCTTTTTCGGATATCTTGTGCTTTCTTACCATTCTTGAATCTTTTAGCATTAAGCCAGTAGTTCATTTTAAAAATTAATTCTCATCCTTTTGGCGGTGCAGAAGTAAATGTTTTCAGAGATGAAGTCTTAAGATACTTTATGATTTTTTTATTTTCTGCTTTTATAAGTACTATCTTCAACCGTTGACACCAATTCAAATTTTTTTAATAAACTTTTTTGCAAGGTTTTTTGGGATGGAGGTTTATGATTTCTTCTGATTTCTCTGATTTCTTCCGAATTCTGAAAAGGAGTACGGGTTTATAGCATTGGCGTCAGAGGAAGGTACCATAAAGTATGGTGGGGTTGCATCTGTATTGTAAAGTATATGCCCCTTTTGGGGGAGAGAGGATGTTTATGGCGAGTCATTAGCAGACTGTACCCGCGGAGACTAAATTAATTCCAAATGCTCACCCTTGTCTCCTGAGGCTAAAATACGAGCAAAAAAGTGATAAAAAATAAGGCATGCTATTTGTAGAAAAAAACAACAGTTATTATTTTTCACTTTTAAAGATTTTTTTTGTAGATAAATAGATCATGAGTAATTAATACTGTGAATGAGGAATGCTATTTGTAGAAAAAAAAACAGATAACTTACTGTAATGAAAAATGTAATAGTTATTAAAACAATGATGTGAAAAATGTCCCTAAAAATTCCGAGCAAACTAATACGATTTTTTGTCTTAAAAGAAAACTTCTAGCACAAGAAAAACAAAAATTGTCTAGAATTAATTGTTTGTTTGAAAAAAGAAGACTCTATTGGTAATTCATAACTTAGTTAATAAGCCTGTTGAAATTAATTTTTTTAAAACTATTGTAAGCTACAAAAACATTATGACCGACTTTCCAGGAATATAAACCCTTCATTTGAATACACTAGCACTATTTTTTTAGGAGTAACGAACGTAGTTCAGACTCTTAAATAAGTCGCAATAATTTCCTTAATTTTTTTTCCAGGAGAACTTTTTTAAAACTTCATAGTTTTTCTTGCGTTCGTTAATGTTTCCCAAGTTGGTTACGTTCAAAAACTTTCATGTCTTTTTAGGGAAAAAAAAGAAAGTAAAACATACAGAACAACAGTTGATGAATTCGGTTTGTTTTTCGTCGAGCTCACTTTGAATGAAGTACCTGAAAATGTGAAATTAAAGATTTATTTTTGAAGTCTGTCAACTATTACCGACCGTTGAAAGCTGAAGACAGCCGAACGGCAAAAATAGCATAACTCTACAAGATAAGCAATCGTAATTTGCAAAAAAAAAGTTGTTTTGATATGCTGTTTTTTTTTCTAGTTATGCTAATTTCAGTTTTTTTGAACCAAAAATAAAAGTGAATCAAACCTCTTTTTTCTCCTAAAATAAAAATACAAGCGGTTAATCGAAGCTTAACCTTGATGAACTACAGTCAAACTGACGCAAATTTCAAACGTTAATTCTGAAATTGGCGCCTTTCATTCCATTTTTTTAAAAATATTTCCCATTTTGTTTTTGTTCACTGATAGCTTTTCCCGAAACAACCATTTTAAGACCATTCACATAAACTGTAATCCGTTTGTTTTCGTTGCAACCACTCAAGTAATGCATTTGAATTTGTTTTGTTTGTTTTTCACGGTTAATGGTTTGTTGATTTTTCCTTGAAGGCTGTACCAATACTTGATGGATATAACAAATTGCAAGTAATCTCAGATTAATGACAACCTAGACAGGTGAAAACAATCAAAACAGAATTAATGTATTTCCATATGTACACACCAAATGTATGAAATCTCTATGATATCCATTTAAAAAAATATAATTTGCATGACTAGCAAATTTGTTTTTTGAAAAATTCTCGACTAGAACTGTGCAATGAATAAAAAGTTTGTTTGTTTTTTGCAGGGATTTGTGCAAGATGGAAAACGTCTGCAAAAACGGTCTTTGCGACATGGACGGTAAGGGGTCGTTCAAATGCACATGTCACGAAGGCTGGCTTGGCACTCATTGTGAAATAAAAGACCAATGCAAATCACACTCAAACCCCTGTAAACATGGGGGCGATTGCAGAATGGATGTTACAATGGGCACTTACAGCTGTAAATGCCCGGACAATTCAGGTTTCTGGGGTCGCAATTGTGAATACTTCAACGAGTGTCGGAACAACCCGTGTAAACATCAAGGCATATGCAGGTACGGAAACCCTAAAAAAACATGGCGATGTCACTCGACAAGCTTATGCTTTTTTGATATTCAGCCGAGTCGAACAAAATTGTAAATGTAAATTTCAAAACAATTCTTGGTAAGGAGTTTCTGGCTTGAAATGAAACTATTACTATAGAAGTCATGAAACATTTTTAAAAACTGTTTTTTTTTCGAAGTTTGTTTGGAAACAATCAAGTTTTTCTACATTTTTAGACATCAGTGGTTTCCATAATTTGTACAATAATTAATAAAAATTGATTTTCAGTGTACTTATATGAAGTACTATAGCACTTATCACAGTAATGAATGCAGGTGGTAACTGGTATACCGAAAAAGTAGTATGCTCGGCAATAAAATTTGTCCTCTAAACTCACACGCTAAACAATCTCGAAATAATCGGACGAGAAAATGTTTTTTTTTGTTCTGTAGAAATATGACCTATGGGAGAGACGGGAGAGGGGAGTACAACTGTGAGTGTATGGGCAACTTCCAGGGAAAAGACTGTGAGGAGTGGAACCACTGCAAGACCCCTGGATACTGCGAGTACCAAGGAGAGTGCTCCTTCGTTGGTAAGTTCCAATTAGAAAAAAACATTTCGTCGTTTTTGACCTGTTTTTTTTCTTCAAAATTAGGCTGGGAAAAGGTCAAAATTTCTTGAAGCTCGGCCTGATATTTTTTTCTCAAAATAGGGTTTTTACACTGTCTTGGAAAAGATCGGAATCCTAGTTTGGATCACATAAAAGATGAAGGAATTTGTTTTCAAATCTCCCATGGATCTGTGCCGGATGACTCGTACGTCAAGTGGCTTGTTGTCCATTTTTGTTGGATTTTTCATCTGCATTATAATATTCTTTCTGATTTCAACTTTAATTTGCCCTACCAATTGTTTTCCTAAATGATAAGAAAATTTACTTTAAATTTTGCATCAAAAAAAATTATAACTATTTAGCATAAATTGTGACTTTTCTTGGTCTTTTTTGTTAAATTACTTGCTTAGGTCACAATAACTCGGTTTGCAAATGTCGAACTGGTTACTATGGCAACCGGTGTGAGAACTACAACATATGCGAAGTGAACAACCCCTGCCAGAACAAAGGAATCTGCCGGCCTCAAGGAGACAACGGATACACGTGCACTTGCCTTGGAGGTTCACAAGCTGTTGATTTTATTTTAAAATTTTGACTTTTTTAAAAATTTTAATTGTCAATTTTCCCACAAACAAGATTCAAGCAATGCTTAAAATTATCTATATAGGCATCATCGACAAGTATGAAGCATATTTTAGTCGAATCTCGAGGCTTTTGTTAACGTTTTTTTTTATCATCAAATTGTAATAAAAAAGTTATCTCGAAAAAAAATATTGTTATTTTTAGGCTACACGGGCAAAAACTGTGAACTATTCGATCCATGTCAGATTACGCAGTGTCGAAACGGCGGTGTTTGTGTAACAACAGATGAGATCTTGGGCACCTTTACATGCAACTGTCACGAACCCTTTTACGGAACCCGCTGCGAACGGGAGAATTATTGCAGAGGAAAAGAATCGCTCTGTGATAAAGAAAAAGGTTTCGGAGAAGCTTGTACAAATTGGATCAACAAGAAACTACTTTAAAAAAATAAGGATATTGGTTTCTGCTACAAAAATTTTCAAGATTTTCGCAGTTTCAAAAAATCAAATTTTAAATTGTCAAAAACTATAGATAAATAAAAAGCGACCGAAGTAAATTTTAAACTTTAAAATGAAAAGTCGATTTTTGAACCGAATTGTACAATTTCTCCGACAAGGTTTCACGTGTCGCAATCTGACAACCATGCACTACGTGTGTGAACCTATCAATCCGAATGTGCTCATTGGAATATGTCAGCAGAACAGAGATTGTCTACATGGAGGAATATGTCTGAGGTAGAGTGATACATTATATGGTACAGGACTAAACAAATTTTAAATTGTGGTCTGAAACGTTCACGCAACGGTTTTTTTTTATATTGAAGTTTCGATTTAACTGAATGGGAAAAATCCCACAAAAGTATCATGATTGTACAATAACTTCCATAATATTTTCTAAAAAAATAATGAGAGAGAAAAATAAATAATGAATAATTTGTTTTTAAAGTTATAGATAAAAGATAAACTATTTTCAAAATAGAAAAATAAAGATATTTTTTATGAAAAAACTGTAGAAGAACAAAGACTGAAAAAAAATATTTAGAAAGAGAAATAAATCTTCCAAAAAATGACAAAAGTAAGTTGTATAAGCTTCGAAACGCTCAATTAATGGTTTCCCTGGTTTTGTATATACATTCTTTACAAACTGATCTATCATCTATCGCATTAAACTGTCCAAAGATTACATATCCCTGACATATGAAACTCAAATACTATAGCTCACCTGTTGTACCATTTGACATTTGACCTGTGTTTCAGTGATGGGTCATGTGACTGTAAGCCCCCCTACAGTGGTCGCAGGTGTGAAGTCATTGAGCCCTGCAAGGACCCCAATGTCTGTTCCAGTAATGGAGAGTGTGTCCTGTCCATAGATGGGAAAAATGCAGAGGTGAGTTTATGTAATATATGTAATATAGGTAAAATATGTAATATTTTTGAGTAAAATATGTAATAATTTCATCGTTATTGTAGTTTTCAACTCCAATTTTCAAAACAATTTGACTTTCTCCACTATTCAACAAAATTTCTTCAACTTTCAAATTCTAAAGCTGACTAATTCACAGAATTTTTAAAATTCTACTTATAAAAATATAAATCTGTCATATTAATCTAAAATTGACATCTGCGCTGCGCTGCGTTCATGAGTTATTAATTAATTTATTAAAATTATCTAGCAATGGTTCACGTTTTTAGAAGACTTTTGTCTGGAAAATATATCTGTAAAATTCAATATGTAAGCTGTTTTTCCAACCATATGGATTTGCTTTGGATATTTGCCTTCAGAAACACAATTTAACAAAGATAGCCTAGAGATGTGCTAGTTTCACAGAATGTTCCATATTACCATATTCATAAAAAAAAACTGTTTTGTTGGTTTCTTTTCTTCAAATTAGTGTCACTGTTAGTGCGTGGTGTGATTCGAGAACTATACAAACGCGTAGAAAGTTAGTGAATTAGGCAAGGCCGACATTTAAAAAAAAATGAATACCAAAAAATGAATTTTTTTTTTCTAAATTTCTCTAAAAAATTTTTTCCTTTTTGTAGAAAAATTATTTTTTTAAAGGAAAACCGGTGATATATTACAATAAATGGTAATTTCAAGTTAAATAGCTGGATCATTTTTTGTTATACTTCGCACAGTATTTACAATTTATATTAAAAGCCAAATTTTTGACAAAAGAAGTTTAAAATTTGAGTTTTTCAATAACGTTTTATCTGGCAGAGTAACATGTTTACAAAAAATATCTTAGCAGCATGTACAATTGATTGAAATTGAAATGACTATATTATGCATTACAGTTCTCAATTTTAATACATGCACTGTAGTTAAAACTACCACCAATTGTAACATATCACCAGAAAACCTTTATTGCCGAAAACCCTATCCGAAATTAGTTTTCTTCATAGTCAAGTTTTTGAGCCTACAAATCTTTAAAAAAAGAAGTTATACTCGATCGCGTTTTTCACTCGAAATTAGACGAAAAATCGGAAATTTCATACCCGTTTTTCTCGACACTCGGAAAAATTTGGAAATTTTTTAATGATATGAAATAATGTTTAAAATTATGTTTATATATTATGATTTAAAATAATGATAATGTTTATATATCACTCAACTCAGTCCAATGATTAATTGTGGTACCTGGTTTCGAGTTGAAGACAAAACAAAAAAAAAGAAAAAAAAAATTACACCCGAATACAAAGTTCCTCTTTTTTTTCAAATGGTCAGAACAAAAATATATAGCTTAGTCAATCAATCTAAAACTTTCAACAGCGTTGCATTCGTTATAAATTATTTTATAATATTTTCTAGGAATGTTTCACAATTTTTGGAGTATTATTTGCCTTTTGTTTCAGTGTAAGTGTGCAGTTGGCTTCTTCGGCAGCAAGTGTGAACTACATGACCCCTGTCTGATGAAGAGATGCAACAATGGGGGCAACTGTGTCCAGCTGAACCCCAAGCTAACTCCAGGAACAGACAGACTAGGAGTTCAGACTGTCTGTCACTGTCCTCTGGGATACAAAGGTTGCTATATATTTATATCGAGAGAATGATGCAAAAATTTTCGGGTAAAAATTTCCTGGCAACCTTGAAACAAAAATTCGGTCTCAAAAATATAATAAAAAAGTTTTCTGAAATAGATTTTTGTTCCGTTTAAATGATATCGCGGCACCAAAATGTTTGCAAATCTCTAGCGAGAATTGAAAAAAAATAAGAATTAGATACACAAAATCAATAAAGATGTGCCCATGAGTTGGAAAGTTAATTTTCTACAAATAAAGAAAAACTTGGAGCAAAAATGTTTACTTCAACTTTTATACCTAATCTAACAACTCACCAACTTCTTCCCACTTTTTTCCATCACCTTCGAAAAAACATGAAAGATTTTTCCAATTTTTTTCTTAATACAAAAATTCAAATTATTTTAGGAGACCTTTTCATGAAAGGGGAATAAAATATGTGCTATGTTTCCAAAATTGAGTATTCAAAAGAAAAATTGCAGAGAGTCAATTGTGATTTCATAATAAAGCTACACTTGTCGTGATTCAAAACCGGAAAAACAAATCGAAAACGCTTACTCAGTGTCGAGAAAAACCGGACTTCAAATTTTGCTTTTAGATTTATCATCTTCTAGAACGCTGAATGCGATTGTTTCCCTGGTCATGCGGTGCAGTTTAGTTTAACAGATCAATCCAATTTTATTGCTAAAACCATAATAATTTTTTAATTCTGCGATAATAAGCCTTCTACTATTGGCATTTGAAAAAAATTATCGAAAATATGAAAAAATATATATATTTTTTTGGTTTTAAAAATAATTATATAAAACAAATATATAAAATATACTAGAAAGAATAACCGTTTATCTGGAGATGTTAAGAAAATATTATAGACTAATTTTTCCAGTTTTTGAAAGCAGGGGTACCTCTAAAATTTTGGTCAAATTTAGTTAAAAGGTCTACTAGATATTGAAAATATACCTTTTCAGTCACATAATTTGCTCTTTTTGCTTAAATTATAAAATCAAAATGTTCCATAAAATGCTGTCGTCAGTGATTTTGTCTCTTTCGTTCTCACAAGTTACAACTAAAACAAATGCTTTTTGGTTCATTTTTTGTTCAGATCTTTTTTTGTTTTTTTGATTTTCAACTAACAATTTGTGATAAAAATTTTTTGAACAACCTAAAAGTTTTAGACTTCTTGAGCTTAGGCGACCCTTTTGTTTCTAACGTTGTTAATTTGGAGCTATTTGTAGTTATTACAAGATAATTGGTAAGTTGGGGGTTACAACACTTGCCTCTCATTCAGGTGTTAAAAATATTCATGTGGTAAAAGCTTGTTGTTTTTGTGGAATGAACGGCAAACATCAGTCACTCGCACTAAACCGCTTCAACTGCAATTTTTCTCCAATGTCTAAAAAATGAGGGAGTGTTTGTGCTTGTTAGGTTTCTTTTTTCAGACATTGCCAATTTTCAACTACGGTCATTTGACGTGATTTTAAAAATTCATCTGAGGGCTATTGATGTTTTGAGCACAAATAAAAACAATATTTCACCTCAGATTGTTTCTCGCTAAGTTTTAAAATTGTCACTTTGGTATAACTAATGCCCGCCTTGTTTGAATTTGATTACATATGAACCAAATTGTACCTAAAATGATCAAATATGACAAAATGAACGAAACCTGCGATGGTTTATTTCAACCTGCTAAAAAAAAACACAATAAAAAATTTGACTCGACGATGTTTTCAAAGTTTCGGGATACTTGAACTAATCTATATCCGCCGATTTTTGCCGTTGTTCTGATTTTTGCCGTTGTTCTGGTTCATTCTTGAAGTTAAGGCTAAAACGATATGTCGACAAACTTTCAATTTTTTTGTTGTAATTTTTCCTCTAAAAGCATAGATGCGCACCTGCATGCTAATATTTTAGATTTTTTTCACGAATTCACAATTATGAGATTTATTTTAAACCTTTTTTCAAAGTAAATCTTGAAAAATACCAATTAGCCAAATATAGTTGAAAATTTAAAGCTTTTCTTTTTTTCAAATCTTCACTCCGAGTGTACAATAAGCTTTGAAAGAATAAACAGAACACGCCCTCACAATCAATTCAAAAATTTGCATCTGAAAGCATTTTTGAAAATTTCAAACCGCTCCAAGCCGGATCACCAAAAACCTTTAAACACTTTGATGATCAAACCTTTTCTTTAAAGCCATTAAAGTTTGCGGTTAATTTTTGCCCTTTCAAAGAAAAAAACAGTTAATTCATTGAAATCTACAAACAAAAAAATTGAATTGGAATTTTCCAACGTAGGTGGTAATTTTTTTTAATGATTTCAAAATGCCTCAATCAACAGAAATCGCAAAAGGCGTTTCTTTATTTCCTCAAACCACTTTCCAAATGCGGCGAAAAAACAACAACGGAAGCGAGATTTGAATAATGGATGCTTATATGGGAAGAAGTCGAAATTGTCCCTTGAAGTAAGGAAAAGTAAATAAAAATAAACAAAAGGTGTGCACGCAATTGCGGCTATTGATTCATTTGCAACCTTTGTCGTCATTTATATTCTCTAAATGATAAAAATATGATCTTCACATAAACAATAATGAATTTTTTCGTGTTTTTTATCTTTTTTTTTCTCAATGAGCAACAATATAAGAAGAAAATATGTTAAGCAAAAAAAACGACTGTTTGATTTGAATTATTGATCAATTTGAACGTTTGAAACTAATTGCCGATTTGTCCAAACCCAATTGTAGTTCTTTCATGATTTTCTATCAAAAACTCAGATCAAATAGAAAACTCTTCGTTAGAGTTTTGTAATTATAAACTAGAAGAACTTCTATTCTAGATCCACCTATTTCGACGGTTATTGTCATGCTTAAGTCGAAAAAAAATTAGGGAGAGATATGAATCTTTTTTTGTTCGGTTAACACCAAATATTGCGACCATCCTACCAGCCTTGATTTAATTAAGTGGTAAACCGCTCATAATCAAAATTATTGGCAACGTAATTTCTTAATCTTTTTCAGTTAATTAAAAATTTGTTGCAATTTAGTACAATTCAGCTCAAAAAGCAGTTTTGATCTTTGAAGTGTATTCCTCATATCTATGAGGCTTATATAGCAATTCAAAGCGACCGAGATTTTGCAGTTGGGTCAAAGACTGCTACCAAGAAGTAAAGTTTCGTAGCTCATAACTCAGAGATAAGGAAAACCGACCTTCTTTTTGTACTCAACTTTGAAACAAATCTCGATATTGTCTAGAGTTGAGCAAAAAGGCTCACTGATGGCTTTAAAACATTTCTCTGTTTTCCTACCACGTAGATATTGCTTATTTAAAAAAAATTCTTCGTTCTCAATGGGTTTACTTATAAAAAAAACTAAAATTGAGCAGCAAAACTTGCAACCAGAAGGATGTTATGGGATTTTAGGACAAGGGTTTAAATGGAATGATTCAAAAAACACAGATAATTTGGCCGTCCAAGCAGCGTTTTACTCATCTATAAAACTGTTTTTTTTCTTCAGTTTTCATCGGCCAATTGGCGAGAAGTCGATAAATTAGGACCTTCGATTGATTGTAGAAAACAAATAGATACAGAAAGCGAGGACTCGATTTTGGAATTTGCTCATATTTTTTGAGACATAGAAAAAGATCTGTGCGCCATCAAAAATGAAAACAAACAGCTCATTTAATTTTCATATCTCGATTGTTTTGAAAAAAAAATTGGTTAAAGAACGATTAGTGAAAATCAAGATCCAGTCTGGTTTTACACCAAATAATAAATTGAATTTAACACTGCCCTAAATGCTAAATGGAAATCAAAAATTAGGTTTTTTTATTAAATTTCTAATAAGGAATGAAATAACCTAATTTCAAATTATTAAGTTTGATCATCAGATAACTATGAATCGAAGTCCAACAAAAAATGTAGGATTCGGTTAGAATCTAAAACCAACTAAAAACAATTGCTAAAAAAAATCAGAAATCATAAAATAAACAATCAAACCTTGATCTAATTTCTCATTTGGAAATTTTTTCATTTTCAATTGATTTGAAAAAAAAATCAATACATAAAATTTCAAAGCTCTTAAATGTTTATCTTGTACATGCTTTTTGTTCCGAATTTCGAAGAAAGTAAAGAATATGTATGCTCGGCGTGTTTTTTTTATTCAGACAAATTCTCAAAAATATTTTTCTTGGGGATTGATCTATGGATCTACATGGTCCCAGTCGGAACATTAAGGCTTTGCGCTGTTACGAGCAGTTTTGTTTGGTTTTGAACTGAATTTGAAGAAAAATAAAAAATCGGTCTATTTTTTTTTAGTTTTGGGAGTTTTTTTTGTAAATTGGGAGTTGTTGTTTTACAAATACTTTCTCTTAGTTTAGCTAGAGTTTTAAGAATTAATATTATAGCAAGTTTTGTTCATCTTTTTTTAGCTTAAATTATAAGGTTTACGTATTTACAAATTTTGAAAAAAAATTGGAAGAAAAATGTATCTGAACTTTTTCGGATTTTCTAAATGATGCTATTCTATCGCAAGACGAGCGTTTTGAATTTTGCAAAAATTTAGTTTGCATTATTTTTTTGCTTTTTTTGCTAGACTTTCTACTTTCTGGGCCAATAATCCCGAGTTCATATGGTATTAAGAATAATCCGCCCTAAAAATAATCACTTGACAAAAGGTATTAAAAAAATCAATCACAAAATCATTACCACAACCAAAAGCAACAAAAATCCTTAAAATCCTCTCTCTAATTTCAACACAAAGACTCTTACGGCCATTCAAACGTCACGTCAATTTTTTGACGTCTCCTTTTTTGGAAATCGAATGCGACAAATTTCCTACAGATTGTTTTTCTACGATGATGTTCTTCATTTTATAGCTCATATTTTTTATTTTGGATTCAATTTGATTTTTTCATTGTTTTTTTTTGTGCTCGCTGCTTTTATCGGGATTAAAAGCCAATAAAACAGTCATAATAAGGGACAAAATGTTCTTCAAAATGCGCGTTAGCAGGTGCATTTCAGTAATTCAGTACCCAGCTCGCTTTTGTTGATGTCTAATGTCACTTTGAGCATTTCGAGTGTTGAACTCAGTATATTTTTTCTTATGTTGATCCGATGAAAATTTGGCACAAAAGCCAGTGATTTGATGCGATAGCAAGGCTGATAGAGTTTCAACAAAAAGCACTTTTCAATAAGTACAAAGTTAGGTAAAAAAACCTAAAAAAGTTTAAAAAGTGAGAATAGTTTAATCGCTTGTAATGTAAATCACCTGTCTCTTGAAAACTATAATTGCGTTGACTTTGGCGATTAAAACTAAACGCGGAAAAATGACAATGTGAACATAAAATGGAATACTACTTTAATTTTCTAGAAACACTTCATCTTTTTATAACTTTTTTCAGGAGACGATTGTAGCGTCATGAACAAAGAGTGCATCAACAACGAATGTCTAAACGGCGGTCTATGCATTGAAGCTATTTCCTCCAGCGAACTATCAAGTATGGCTACCACATACTTCGAGAGCGAGGGTTCTGCTACATTTCCGAGTGCATACACCAAGTCGACTAAAAGTTACCTTGCGAAAGATAACTTTGTGTGTAAATGCCCTGACAAATACAAAGGACGAAGATGCGAAACTTTGAGTGAGTATGAGTTTCGAAGTTGTGGCATATGTAGAACAATTTTTTGTTTTGACAATTAGTCCAAAGTTGATAAAACTAGCAACCTTTTTTTAAAGAGAACTAATTTTACAAAACTTAGCACAATAGAGGCAATTGTTTGAAAAAATGTTAAATTAGGCACATTTTATTGGGTGAGTGGCATTAAAAATGATACAAAAAGCAGATAAAGCAGAATGATTTCATAGTTGTCAACCTAACAATTATGATCTTATTTCAACCTCGCAATTATGAACAAGTCAGAAAAAATCTGAAGCAGCTAAAAGGAGTTTCTTACAAATTATCGGGACAAAAAGAAAAAAAAATTATATATTTAAATCGCTTTTTTTCAACTTGCGTTAAAATTAGACAATAAGTTAAGAGAAAAGAAGTTGCTCAGAGTTTCACCAAAATTATAAACAAAAAATTTTTTCCGAATTCGCAAACAAAATTTCGCCCCGCGAAATCAGGTACAACAAATAAACCTCAGAATGGGTCCAGAGATTTCTCATTTAAGCCTTTGCATTGTTTATTTGAAATGTTTGAAGCTTCGTGTAGCGTTTCCTAGACAATGAAAATTTTCACATTTTCTTACTCGATTCTTGGTGATGCCTTGTTTTTGTTCCGATTTTGAATAAAGTGACGGAATATTTGTGCTCGGGTGGCATTTTTTTTCGAGACAAATTTCGATTTTTTAACCAACAATTTTTGACAAAAGTTCTTATATTCGATAGGTACTGTTGACTTGAACTGAAAGTAAAAAATTTACTTGTTTTCATTTTTTCAAAAACATGGGTATTAAAGATTGTCAATTTGGCCAAATTGGGACGAATAATGCGCGATATTTTTTGTGGCACTAATAATAGTAGGTTCAATCCCTGGAAATTGTTCCAAATTTGATTGAGGCATGTTGTTTGATCTATATAATACTTAAATTTATGCAAAATATATCACTTTGTACTTTAAATAGTGTGTGGGAGATGATTTAAAAAAAAACATTTAAAAAACGTTTGAAACTTTTCCGGGTCTTTTTGGAAAATTTTATCAATTATTTCATTTTAAATTACTCCATAAATTAAAACGCAGTCAGAAATTTCAGAGGTTTGCCCTGTTACGAGCAATTTTTTGAGTTTTTATTCAATTACATTATTACATTAACGTTCTAAAACTACGCGTTCTCTGCTTATCACACTATGAACAGAAAAGGGCACAATCTTTTTTAGTTTTTCTGTTACGGTTTTTTCCGTTCACAGCAATTGACATCTCTTCTTTTATTAGTTTTTCATATAAATGTTATTTAAGTGATATTGCGTCAACACTCAAAAATAAAGTTCACTAAAATGGAAAACTCATTAAATTTAGAGCAGTTTGATAATGTTTTCAGACACTTGATTTTTTCAAGTGTTCGCTTTTTTTAAAATTTGCTAGTAGTGTGTTTTTGCGAGCTGATTTTTACGCGAGATGCCATGTCAGGATACAGAACATCAGTGTTTGGCAATTACTCTGTTTTCGGGTTCTGTATAATTAGTTGGCTCAATGCAAAAACCAGCAATCAAAAGTCACCAAGAAAATCGACTAAGAAACGATATCCAATGAAATGAGTGCTCATTCCAGCGGCCTCATTGTTCTAATCGTTTCGGCTTTCGTGAGTCAAATAACGGAATATTTTGACGGAATTTTCTTTTATCATTAAAAAGGTTTTGTTGTGCAAAGCTTAAATTTAAAATGATATTTCACCTGTGATCAGTTTTCGTAAAGTTATGGGGTTTTAAAGTTTGCCAGTTTGGCCAATTTGGGACAATTAACACGCGACTTTTTGCAATATTTACGCGTAAGCGGAAGTTTTATCCGCCTTAGAAATCGTTCCAAATTGTTTGAAAGAAACTTATTTGCCATAATTGATTAGTACTAGGAGCTAAGTCTATCACTTTGTATATTATATGACGTGTGGGGGATTATTTTTACAAAAAGTTCAAATTAAAAAAAATAGTTTTATTTTTTTTTACGTTTAATATTCTCGTGTTAATTACTGCTCCATAGACCTTAAAAGGCAGTCGGAACATTCAGGGCTTCGCCCTGATACGAACATTTTTTTTTGTAGGTTATTGAAAACACTAAAACTGATACATATTCTTAAATAGCTGCAATTACCAGTCACTCTGTTTTAGGCGCAATCGGTTATATCTAATTCTAAATGGCGTGGCTTAATCTGGTTAATGCCAGTCTAGCTGCAATTTTCCTCCGAAGAAATCAACGAGACGGACAAATTAAATGGATGTGTTTAATTTTGCTGGCATTTAAAATATTACCCGCCCCTTTTAAAACTCAAATGGATTCCTTTAATTCTACTAAAATCAGAAGGCAAAAATCATGCACCCTTATTTGTCAAAAATGAACTACCCTTTGTTTGGTGCCTATAAAATTGTTTCTCCTATAAAGAAATAATTCAACGCCTAAAAATCTGCAAATTTTGTGCCTAGTAAAAAATCTCTCTTCTTTTGGCAAGGGGGTAATAGTTAAAAAAATCCAACAACGATGCCTAAAAACAATTAGAAATATTGATTATGAATACGATACGAACAAGAGTGCTCGTATCAGGGAGAAGCCCTGAATGTTACGACTGCCCTTTTACGGTCTATGGAGCAGTGTTCGTTTTATAAAAAAATGCATTTAAAAAAATGAATTGTTTTTGAATTGTGGGAGTTTTTTTCATAATTGTCCCCCCTTACGCCATATAAAGAACAAAGTAAACAATTTTTGCTCCTAGTATTAAATCAATTTTGTCAAATGAGCGTCTTTCAACCAATTCGGAACAATTTCTAAGACAGATTAAATCTCCGCTCACGCGTTAATGGCGCGAATTATATCCCGCCTTAATTGTCTCAAATTGGCCAAAATGGCAATCTTTAAACCCCCATAACTTTACAAAAACCAATCACTGGTAAAATCTCTTTTCAAGTTTAAGCTTAAGACAAAAATAACTATCGAATGACGTTTAAAATTCCGTCAAAAATGGCTAGTTAAAAAGTCGAAATTTGTCTGAAGAAAAAAACCACCCGAGCACAAATATTCCGTTACTTTCGTTACGAAAGTCGGAACAAAAAGCAAGGAAAACAGTTTTTATGAATTTCAATTTCTACCAGTTTGACTATAAGGTGAAGAAATAATGATAAAGCAGACCACATAGCTTTGGCTACTAGAAAGTGATACTAATATGATGCAGACTTTTTGCTTTGTAGTTGGCAGAACCCAAACTAAGACAGTGAGGGTTGAAAAGTGAGATGAAAAACCAGCTTTACATATTAATTTAATCAGTTTTATGGATACTAAAAAAGAAATAGCTTCTCGAAGTTTTTTTTTGATAGATCCCTTTGGTAGAAAAAAGTTAAAAAAGTAAAAATAATTCTATTTGAGCTCCGTTATATGAAATTTGTTAGCGAAAAAAAATATGTTCAAATTTTTTTTTCAAAAAATGTCGAAAATTGGTTTACTCTGATAATTAAAAAGCACACACTTCAAACTTCCTTTTTTAGTTAAACTTCTTAAATTACAGATGGTATGGTATTTTGTAAGTAACTGAGTAAATTACTTATCGATTTGTTTGTAAATTTTATTTAATTATATTTTTATTAACATATTTTAGATTACTTAAGCTCATATAATATTATTTTTTTCATTTAAGGTTTTTTTCGAATTAAACCTGATCCAGTAATGGGCTTTTTAGGACAATGTCTGGGCAAAACTGAGAAACTGGAAAAGGGCAAAGGAATTATCGAGTGGAAGTCGACTGCCATGGGGCAAGTCTCTTTAGCCGCCTGTCCATTTGGCAGCCAGTCTCTCTACAGTGTACAGCAGTTAGAAAAGGGGGCGGGATTCGCCCAAAGAGACTGTATGCTAGTTGACCGCATGGACGGAAAAGAAGCTCAGTGGGATGTACCTAATACTGATAATTGCGATCCGGTAAGCATTTTGGCGCAGTGGGTAACGATTTGCTTACGCTTTGCGCTCTCCAAAACAAGAAGCTGTGAGTTCGAATGATGTTTTTTTTGCTGAAACTCTGCTTTGCGTTTTTAATTTGCATTTACAGTTTTGGCTACATCTGCACCTTTTTCAATGAGTTAACATTTCTGATATAACTCAGTAATGTTACATCTAATCAATTCTATGACTTTGTAATTCTTGTGCCATATTTTATGTTTAACCGTATTTTATTTCAGCTCTTGGTATGATTAATGTCTGAATATTTTGCTTGATAAATTCGTAAAATATTTTCTTTTCTTTCAGTTTGAAGTCATCGCCTCCTTATACTCTTCAGTTTTTTAATCTGAGACGTTTTTTGTTTCCTTTTAATGACTTGAAATATAAGAAGCGCCATTTAAAAGGACACTTAGTGGAAATTGTATTCAATTTTAAGCGGTTTAAATCTTCTTTATCTTTTCACATGAAACTGGGCTATAATTTAACCGCGGTTTATAGCCGTTTTATTCTTTGTATGCAAATACTCCTTTTTTCTATTATTGTTTTCCATAATTTTTCCCTTTTTTCTTGCATTTTCCAGATCTCTTTCTCTTTTTTTTTGTAATAAACAAGATGATTTATTGTACTTTATTGTATGTTTTCACCTGTTTGAAATAAAGAACAAAGCCCTTTTAGGCGAACAATTTTGATTTTTCCTATTTTTGATGAACAGGATTTAAGTCGACTTCGTTCAGTTTTGTAGATCCCCCCATTGAATCATAGCAGGATGATATTTTGTCAGAAAATAAACACGCTTTGATAAAAAATATATATTTTGCGATGAAGTGTGCAAATATTTGATAACAGGGACGGATCTGAAAATCTCACGAGAGCGGAGTTGAAAAATTAGGAAAATTTTCCAAGCTTCTAGACTAGTCTTTGTGCATGAAATATTTCCGGACTGATAAATCTCCTGAAAGCTGTTTGAAATTGCATGATCAGTTTCTTGGAAACTTAAAAGCAACATTTAAAAGCCTGATAAACTCAACAACAACGACAACATAGTAAAAAAAGATGAAATACTGCCGGTTTCTGTGAAAGCAGCACAGAATATTCCGACCGCACTGACTAAAAAGAGAGAGTAAGTTTTGTTTTCATTTTTTCCCTAAAGCTTTTGGGAAGAAATGAAAACAAAAATTGAACTCCCTTTTTGTAGCCAGTGCGGTCGGAAAATTCTGTGCTACTTTTTTGCTAACTTTAAACTTTTTCAATAACTGGTGATTGAATTAGTTTAAAAACGGCTAATATAAAGTAATAGGAGCTATAAAATTGTAAAACTTCCATTATAAATACACTGAGAGTATACTGTTGTCATTTAGCCTGTAAACTGAAAACATTCAGACGAGTTTTTATCAACTCTGAGACAAACTTTCTGGCTTCTTAGAACCCAAATTTACCACACATGACATATGAGTTTTTTTTGAGGTAGTGACATATGAGGTTTTTTGAAGAAGAGACACTGCGCCCTAACTTTTTTAACCCTTAGAACAATAAACTGATTTGGCAAGGCTCAGCAAGAAAAACTAGGGTTTAGCGGATGACATTGAAGTGTCAGAGACCTGCAAGGTTTTATCTTGATTTCATCTCATTCTGAAGAATTGCCTTTTTTTGACAAACTGCCGCTATTGATCAATTGTTTTAGACAAATTCCTTAATGCATTTCCAAAATTTTACTTGGAAAATACTTATATTGACGCTGATTGCACTTTAAGAAATAAAACTTCGATGCTGATGGGGTAGTGTGACAGTGCCGAAGAACAGCAGCAACGAAAAAAAATTAATTTTAGTGCCAAAATGAAGACTTTTGTTCAAATTTTAAATTTGGTCAAAACACAGTGTTTACTATTAATTTGTCACTATTTTTTGCTGTTTTTTTGCTAGAATTAAATAGTTTATTTAGGAGAGTAATATTATACAGACAGGTAAACAATAAACCGCATGTACAAATCAAACCCACCAAGGATCATGCAAAAAGCTATGCAGATTATCGAGGCATGACCCTGATAAAAACCTATGACAGAAGTTGCGAGATAATATCCGACTTGATGATTCAAAAAAATAAATCTAGAAGATCTCCATTATCTTTAAGAAACAATGAAAACAATTTTTTGAAGGACCCATTTAGTTGATGCTCAGTTAATTGGTTTAGGTTATCTGGTATCAGCTCGTTTGATTTCAAAAAATTATAACATTTAAGAGACACATTTTTCCATGAACGCTGCATTATTTGTGTTCTAGTTTTCATGCTTGGTAAAGTTTTTGCCACAGAGGCCTGAGTAGCCCGACGATTCTTTAGAGATTCCAAATTGAAAGTTTGAAGAAGAGTTTTACCACGAAGTTGATTAAAAGTTTTTTTTGAATATTTGTCTGAAATATAAGTCAAAAACGGTGTCAATCTCAAACGAATGTACGATATATGAGGCATGCTCAAATTTTCTCTTGAAACAAATAGTTTTAAAAAAGCTTTTTTGCATCACAAATATTTTTTCTAATAGGCTTTTTGATGTTGCACCAAATGCAATTAAACCGTAGGAAATGAGTGTCTTTGCATAGCAGTTATAAAATTTAACAAGCCTAATTTTCGAGAAATAGTTTCTACCCTTGAACAGTAAACAGTTAAATTTAGCTAATTTACCACAAACATTATTAATATGACTTTCAAGTATGAGTCTGATGTCCATTTGAATTCCAAAATACCTAAAATCAGAAACCTCGGCGAGTACATTACTACCAAAAGAAAATACTTCATTTAAGTTATCTCGTCCAAACTTCATTATTTTGCACTTCTTTTGGTTTATGAGCAGTTTGTCATTATTGCACCAATTACATATTTTATTTTATTCTATCTAGAATTTCCTTTTGGATGCAAATTTTTGAGCATCAACTACCGTTGTATCATCTGCAAATAATGTTAGCTTAACGTTGCTGGCTGACGCCATATCATTTATGTATAAAAAGAACAGAAATGGCCCCCAAACTGAACCATGAGGAACACCTTTTGTACATTCTCGCATATTCAAGACCGATTGATTTGAATAAACATATTGCTTTCTCCCTGTAAGATAGTTTGTCATTAATTTGTGAATTTTCCCTCTGAACCCATATTGATAAAGTTTGTCAAGCAAAATTTTCCGATCAACTGTATCAAATGCTTTTTTCAAATCAATAAAGCAGGAGTAATCAAATTTTTTATTATCAATTGGTTCACGAAAAAAGTCAGTAATGGACAAAATGGCATGAGTACAGGAATGATTACTTCGAAATCCAAACTGATGCTTATCAATCAAGTTGCTTTTAGCGGCAAAATTGGATATGCGCTTGAAAATTAGTTTTTCAAAAAATTTACTTATACAAGACAACAAATTAATTGGACGGTAGTTATCGGGTTCAAATTTGTCGCCATTTTTTATACAATGGTAAAATTTTTGCAATTTCGAGAAAACTAGGAAAACACTCTTTTTCGAAGCAGATATTGAAAAAATGTGCTAAATGGTCAGCCAGCACCGGAGCAGAAAATTTTACCATTTTACTACATATCCCATCATGACCAGTGGACTTTTTATTGTTCAAGTTTTTGATTTCCTCTTGTATCTCATATCGATTGGTATCATATATAACGAACGTGTTTTTATCAACTGGAAAATTTGATCTATACACGTTTCGTTTTAAGTTTTCTGTTAGTTTTTCTCCAATAGTAGCAAAGTGCTCATTGAAAACATTAACATCGAACGAAGCAGTATTCACATTTTTTTAACGACAAAAATGTTTAAAAGCATCAAAAATTCCTGATGAGTTCTTCTTCCTCGTTATCATGTTATCATAGTACCGGCGTTTACTCACCCTTATAGCCTTAATAAAATTGTTCCTACATGAGGCGAAATTATTTCTGTTTTCGATGGATGGTGTCTGAACCCACTTTTTGTGTAACACATTTTGGTTATTCATCATTTTCTAAATTAATCCATGAGTAGTTTTTTTATTCTTTTTTCGGATTTTTTTTTGAGCAATACTTTGAAAATTCATCAATCAAGATTTGGGTCATTTCAATGATGTAAAGGTCATGATCATCATCATTAATCTCGTTCAATCAATTTTTTAGCGAAATTAAAAATTTTAAACAAAAATCATCATTCAGTAGTAAATCATAGTTGAAATCCGATTGATAAAAATCCACGTTTTGCTTTTCTGAAATAATTTTTAGGTCACACATAAGTCCATAATGGTCACTAATATTACAAATTATTGTTGTTACCTGAGTTTCCTCCGCCGCAATTATATGGTCAATGCATGTACTTGATATTTTAGTTACTCTAGTTGGCTCGATATTTTGAACTTCCAAGTCAAAAGAAAGCAGAAGATTTTTGTAGTCAATAACGTTGCGCTGGCTACCTATAATATTGATATTTAAATCACCCATTAGCAAAATTTCACCGTTTACTGCTTTCATTTCAAGCAATAAATCTTCAAAGAAACTCAAAAAAGTTCCCGTTTGAGATTTGGTGGACGATATATTATGCAAACATTTAGTGGACTGTGATCGACAAAACACATTTTGATAACTATGTGCTCCAAACTGACTGGTAATTTAAAATAATAATAGTTAAGGCCAGTTTTAAGGAAAGCTGCAACGCCCCCACCTCTAGCGTTTACGCGGTTTGCACAGACAATTTTGTCATAACCTTCTAAGTTATATATGCCAATAGGATCATTGTCTGAGAGCCATGTTTCAGTCAGCTCGATTATTTCAGGCTTGTTATCAAAGGATTCAAGTAAAACTGATAATTGGTCATGATGGGCTCTTATGGATTGAACATTTAGAAGAAAAGCTGTTTATGTTGTTGTCATATCTCGCAAAAAGTTTTTTTTTTTAAATGAAATAAAAGAAATTTACGGCAAAAAACTGTAAATAGAGTTGAAATGCTTTTGCCACTAATCAGAATCATTTTCATGATTATTATTTCCGTTGTTGATGAACTTCGACTGTGGAGAATCTCTTTGAAGTGATTCCACAAATCGCACCAATTTGACGGGATCCGATACCCTACTGTATAATTCATCAATCAGATGATTTCTTTCCACATTAATCGGGGTTCTTTCTCTGTCACGTTTCCTCACTGAAACAATAGGAGGGCGAAAAAAGTTGTTTTGATTATTTTGTACCACACGAGGATTTTGTTTTCTAGCATTATTTGCCCTTCTTGCCATCATTGGGTTCTTGTTGTTGAAAATTTGATCAGCATCCTTAATATCAACTAAGTTGTGCCTTTGAAATCCACCATCTGTTTTCGAAACGTAAACTTGTGGAGCACAATTATATGTAACTGTGTACATTCCCAAACCCCGAGAATAATCAAGAAGCTCTGAATTGCGCTGAGTTAGTTTCTCTGTTATATACACTGGTTGCATATTTACAGGGTGCAAAAATTTTTTCAATAATTTTTTTTTGCCATAAATTCTGTTCTTTATATCAAAGTAGACAAATTTCACTATAACCACACATTTTTGGTTTTGACTCACAGGGCCGAGGGAATGGCATGCCTTGAGGTCGTTGCTGTTCACCTCCACGCCCATAACTTCGTTAAAAAAGGCAAGGACATCTTGGGTAAAATTTCCGAAACGTAAAGGTAAATATTGCAAAATAACACAATCTTTTGAACTATATCTTTCCATTTCATTAACTTTATTCTCTTGAAAATGCACTCAATTTTGCAATCCAACAATGATATCATCCTTAGCATTTACATTCTCAATTAGCCCTTGTAATAGGCCTTTCAATTTAGGATCAATATTTACATATTTACATATCTTTTATTTCATCGAATAAAGTATTGAGATTCGCCATTGAATAAGTTCGCGATGTTTTAAACTCGTGGCAAGCAAAAAGAGCAGTTTAGAACCGACTGTTTCTCATTGAAGGTTTAGAAAATTTTAAAATACCTCTAGGTCGACAATTTTTACCAACCAGTCTAAACAAGAGAAATAAAACGCGAATTAAAGCCCATTAAAATTGCACAGACCTTGAAGGATAGGACAGCTTTACTCATTAATATAAAAAATTGTGAAAACTGGTCCGTTTTTTAAAAAACAGTTAGAGGTAACACTCGAATAAAAAATTGTCTGTTTTGGAATTTGATCCAAAAACGATAGCGAGAAGAGAAAATCTCGAAACATTATCAAAATCTCACTTTATGGATACATGTCAACGAAAGTTACGGAAACGATAGCAAACTGGTCAGAGGAAATTTGCGAAATTTTAAAGTTTTAAATAGATGTTTCCAAAAGATTTCAGGAGATCTGTTTCTTTGATACCAACAGATAAAAACGGCCAATTCACACTTCATCGGATATGAACACTTTGTTGATTCAGTTCAATTTTCACAATGAAGACTTTTTTATATTTAAAATTTTAAACTCTATGGATTTTTCTCTTCTCGAAAACGTTATTATTGAACGAACATTTTTGTACAGTGGCTACAAGCCACGGCATAGTATAGTACTGTTAATTTTTTTTCTTGCCGCTACGATGGCATCATAATTGTGACATGGAAAAATCACTGAGATCAAATTCGGTTTTATAACAAAGTTTTTCGCCATTTTCAGGATTCAGACAAAAAAATCATAAAAAACGTGCTTTTAGTGTCGTCAATATTAGCTTTTTTTCAAATATCTTTGTACCTCTACAAACAAACTGAGCCAAAAATTGCGAAAAGAAAAATTTTTGAAAGTCTATCGAGCTTTTCCATAACGGAACAGCACTACCAAAACCCAGAAAAAAAAGAGGAAAAGCAGTACAACAGTGCCAAACTTTAAATGTGCCAAACTAATTTCGAAAGTTTGAACTATTACTTATGGGGGTTCCTTAATCTTTCAGCAGACCTGTTCTTTCTATGTAAAAGAAACAGCTTTTTTAATATAAAATTTAGCGAAAACCTAAAAACAGTTATGTAATCTGTTTTTATTTAACTTTGAGGTACCGAAAAATATTTATATAGGAACTCAATTGTAATGTCTTTTTCACGCAATTTGGATTGTTTCAAAAAATAATACAGGTCCTGTTTGGTATTATAATGAAAATTTTTAAAATCGTTTTGAGGGTTTCAAAAACCTTTTTACATCAAATTTTACTGCCGTCAAACACTGCTGCTATTTTTGTGTTATTAAAATAAGTTTTTCCCAATCAAAAATAACTAAACTTTGATGATGAGTTAATTTATTTTTTTTAAACTGTAGAATTTTTCTAAGACACTTGCTCTGGTTTGTAGTCGATAAAACTTTTGTAGTTTAATACTGAGAAGATTGTCTCTTAAAAAAGACATGAAAAAAGTCTGTGCCTGATGGTTATCATTAGCCATTGAAACAGTGTTCTGCATTTTTGTTGAGTTCAAATTTTATTTAAATTATTTGACAGTTTCCTTGAATTTGACATGTTAACCGGTCAAAAAATTTTGTCTTAACTTGTTGAATTTTTGAAAAAAAGGCGATAAATTAACGCGTTGAGTACATATAAGAAATATAACAATTTGGTTTTAAATGTCAAAGTGCATAGTTTCAGTTTAAGTAATAGTCGAGATAACTATGATGTGAAACCCCGTCGACACAAGGTCGAAGTGAAGCCGAGACATGATTGAATCATATTTTTACCTAGGTTTCTAACTTGATTCAAGTTCATGTCAGTTTTTACCAGCGGTGCACGTAGCGCAGTGGGTTATCAACCTCCAGCAAAAGCAAATCAACCTCCAGCAAAAGCAAAAATAAATTTTTTTTTTGGAATCCTGTGATCAAAATGTTATGATGTTCAGAATAATTAATTTCCGTTTTTTGATATTTTTTCATGAAAAAATTACTGCTCGTTGGTTTAGTGGTAACTCTTTGTATTGCTTCCTGAGTTTTATTCCGCGTAAACTACAAAATTTTGCAAAAATCGAGAGCTTAGTGCACCTGAAATTGTTCAATAACTTCTCACAGAAATAGTTATCAAACTCTAATTTTTTGTCTATAGACCAAAGTTTTCTTAGTTTGCCCATATTTTTTCTATATTTTTTTCTTTGTTTTAATCAAATCTCAGCGAAGAATTTAATTTGACTACGATTTAGGTGTGTTAAAGTACCCCAGTGAAGTATGAAATGGTTTCAACTGCAGTAAAATTAGTTGTGAACTGAAGGCTAAAAAGGACTTGAATAAGTTTTCAAGTGTCGGGAAAATTCTCTGAGATTCTGATTGTCATTAATTTTTAGTGGGTATACCTAAAGTATGATTAGTGAAAGTATGCTCATTGGTGATAACTCCAGTAAAATTGAAACTACAAAATCAGATCAATGTACCGCTTCTATATTAATTATTTTGAATAAAAACTATAGCCAAAATTTTTTTGAAATTAAACAGTTGCCGCGGGTTTTAAAATAAATTGTAAAATTCATTCATGTAACTTTTAAAGAAATTATACTTGGCCTTAGCTCAGGCAAGTAGCTTAACAACAACATTGCCTGAAAGCTTTGAGCGTATTGGTATTGTGGATGCTCTAGCTGTTTTCCTTAATGACATTTTTGTTCTGTTCAAATTTTAGAAGCCATAAAGAGGCTAACATACTGAAATTTGGAAAAATTTGATGTTACATAATGTTTTTCAATGATTTAAAGTCAACTTTTTAAATAAATTCAATCTGTATTACCTTTTTCTTGAATTTTTTATGTGTTATGTTTAACCATAAATCGCCCCAAGAAGTCAAAGAAACTAAAACTGAGAAAGTTTTTGGTTTTTTTATAAAGGTTTCTAAAGAAGTTTAAAGTCAGTTTTTAAAAGCTTATTTTAGGCACCAGAAACTTAAACACGCAAAGAGACTGAAACCGAAAAATATGAAGGTTATTTAATGTTTTTCCAGAATTTTGAAGTAATTTTTTAAATGGTAATTTTAACGATTAGGAGCCTCAGAGTGACCAAGAGGCGGAGGCAGTTCTGGACTCAGTGCTGGTGTTGATGATGGAGGCAGATCCCTGGGAACACTCACCCGAGTCCATAGAGTATGCAGGCACTGTGCTGAGGAACCTAGCCACCACTTATGTATTCAGATCACTCACTGTTAGTTCCAATATTGTTTATTGTTTTATCCTAGTTTTATACATCGGTTTAATAAAACAAAACGAGACAGGTTGAAATTTTTTTTTTGTTTGCTAAAAAGAAAATTCTACTAGAAATAGCTATAACTTCTATCGATACTTTAAATCTAAATTGGCAATCGATACTTTAAATCTAAATTGGCAATCGATACTTTAAATTTAAATTGCAATCTGATTTTTAAAAAAATTGAGCTACGTTTTTCGCGAAAAAAAGGCTCTTTTTTGTCTTTTTTCAAAAAAATAAACATTTAAAATAACACGAGCGGGAAAATATCATAAAAAATGCAAATAAAGTAATTTGTTACTTATTTTACTCAATCACTAGCAATTCTCCATATACCTAATAAAGATTGATTTTTGTTTAGATGGCGAAAAAGTTCTTCCAAGTGATTGACAGACTGTTGGACATCCCAAGTCAGATCAGTTTTGAAGCAGAAGTCAGATATGGTGCCATTAGCAGGTAAAATAAATTAATTCCTGCTATGATAGTCAAGGACAAGATATGAATAAAGTTAAAAAAGTCAAATTAAAAAAGTTTCCTCTGCGCGAAAAAATTTCTGGAAAATTTTTTATTTCAATTCTTCGGAGTACCTAGCAAAATTCCACATAAATTTTTTCTCCAAAATCAAAAACATCAATGCCTATATAGGTCAAAAATGAAACAGTATATATCTAATAGACATCAATCATCGCACACTGCAAACATCAAATGTAATTCCGAAGCACTGAGAGGTTGTTTGAAAAATTTATTCCCCTTCTTTCGAATGTAGTTTATTGACCTGTTTCTGCCCCAGCTTCCAGCTACTCCCGGTTATGGAATGGAACAATGGCAAAGGGTGTGTTTTGTCAAAAAAAATACTCGTACTAAGAGGTCGAGTGATAAAGCATATTGAAGCCCTTTTTTAAAAAAAAAATCAGAATTTTTCTTGATGCCAAAACAATTGATCTGAGCATATTTGCCATGCTGAACAATTTACTACTCAGGTGCTAAAACCAGAAGAAAGCTTTTCTGCTCCGCTGAAACTTTTACATGTTTTAAGTTAGTTTTAGTCCAAACATAAAGTGAGAGTCAAAATGAAATACTTTTTTTAAAGTTTTTTTTGTTTCGTTTGCTGCACCTCCGACAAAAAAGTCAGTTTTTAAACGTTCAGTAATGTTTTTTATCCTTATCATTGCCCGTATTTTGCTTTATTGGATCAGTGAAAAACTTTTTATTTGAAAACTTTTATCTGAATTATGTGATTCCTCAATTGAATCATTTACTGTTTCGACTATTTTAAAAATGGTGAGGAACTTTGTATTCGGGTGTGTTTTAATTTTTTTATTTTTCTTTTTGTTTTCCACTCAATTTTAGGTACCACAAAAATAATGGGAATGGGTCGAGTGAAATATTCTATCAAAGTACTTTCAGTCGTGATTCGAATGAATATACAATTTTTCTAAAGGTTGCCTCAGTATCGAAAAAAAACAGGTTTAAAAATTTTGAGTTTTAGTCTGAATTCGAGCAATAGCTTGTTTTTGCTTAAAGTAGGCCATGAAAATTTAATTTAACTCAAACAAACAGTTTTTAGCGCCATTCAGGAAATGAAAACCTCAGCAAATAAAAAATAATTTTTTTTTGCTTTGTATTTCTAGATTTTTTGTTTTCGTAATCATTTTTATTCAAAATTGTTGTCCAATTGGCCCCTTTTAGTATGACTGTCAAATATTTTTTAGTTCCAATTTTTCGTTCAGATCCTTTTATCACACCGCGTAGAAAAAAACTACACTAATTTGAATAAAAAAACTTTGATGCTATATTAAAAACTTTTATGCTATGGTGGGAACATTATGTGCTACTTGCACAGTAGCCAGCTATCCTCGTTTTTTTTTATTTGTATGCGATTTGTATACATTTTGGTAGTTTTTAATGCTCTTCTTACTTTTTTGATCACAAAATGCAAGTTTTGATGTTCCGCTTCTCACAAAAACCGGTACTAGAAAAATAAAAAGAATGAAATGATTGTATTGAGATAAACCGGCTTTAAACTTTGACTTCTAAACTAACTTCGAGCAATTAACATTCACTATATGAAAACTGGCCATCAGTTTTTAAAAAATTGATGTTACTGAGCGATAAATAGTTATGAACGCTTCCTTTACCATTTCACGCGTACTAAGAGGTCACGTACTAAAATGTGATAGAAATATCAAGGGGTCGAGTAATACAGCATATTGAAGATCTCACAGCAAAACAATTCAAGAAAAGAAAAAAAACTAATCTGAACATATGTGCTATACAGAATAATTGACTGCTAAAATGATAAAACGAGAAGAATGTTTTTCTGCTAAGCTAAAAATTTATATAAATTAATATCATTACACCAACGCAAGCAACGACACTAATTTAAAAAACTTGGTAATTTGAAGATTTTTGTAGTTGTTTCTTCATTACTTGTCCAACACGCGATGTTTTTCCAGTCACTTTTTGACTTGCGTTGAATTTTGCATTTTCGACGGGTTTTGATTTTTGAAAACTGAAACAAAAAAGAAGGGTTTACGACCCAACCATCAGACTGTTAGCATTGCCAACAGTTTAAACTTCAAGCGCGGTTTCAAATAGCTGTCAATTTTGAATATATTAAATTGCGATGGTTATTTTATTTCAAAAGTATTTTTGAATGCTTTAAAATGTATCTCATTTGTATACTTAAAAGGTTGTAGCATTGAGCGTTATTTAATTTAAAAACATAAAAAACATTTTAAAAAAATTTCTCTTCATATTTAATTTGTTTGCTACTGGCTTCATAAAACCTTATCACACATGTTTTCTTTTTTGCAGTCTACAAGATAATAGCGTTTTACAAACTGCAGTACCATTAATCAATTTTTGACCCCACCTAATCTCACGAAATTTAAAAAAGTCGAAAACTTGAACAAGAATTATAGCATTTTTTTTTCAACTTTTTATACACCATATTTTTTGATCATCCACATTGTACGATTTTTTGTGCTGCAGTAACTGAATGCTCTTGATGTTTATGTTCCGATCATTGACCGTGAGAAAAAACCTAGTCCTCGGGGGTGTTGTAATTTTTCCATCATATTAACGCCCTTTTAGTACCGATTAACTTTTCTTGAAATTGAAAAGTAATAATTTAGGGTCAAGAAGATCTAGTTTGAACTTTTGCCTACTTAGTCTAAGCTTGAGCAAGCAGGTATGCGAACGAGAAGAATTAGAGAAAGTCAATTAATTTTTTGCTTTTACTCTAGGAAAAATGGTTTTTGGAGCTTGATTCACTTAGTTTTTTGTTTTCAAAAAAATTTGAAAGAAAATTTGCGCAAAAAATTACAAATCGTTTTGTCAATTTTCTTGGTTTTTTCTTTACATTTTGAAGATAACTGTAGTTGATTATAATTAATGATTATTCTTAAAACTTTATTATTTTTCTTCCTCTCTGTACACCTCATGCTAAAAGGGCTTAAACTTGTCGAAAAAAGTAGTTTGGATTCCCAGAAAAAACTTAACGGTAAAAATTTTCACTCATGAGAAATATCACTCATACTTTAGTTCTTAAACAACGTCTGTTTTTTTTTGGAGAAAGCTGCAACTGATTATGATTAATGATTAAATCAGTTAACTTTAGGTTTTTCTTTTCTTTCTAATTACATTACGCAGGGGTTCAGAAAATGCAAGTTTGGAAAAAAAAAGAAATTTTTTTAAGTTCTGATGCCCAGAGAAAAAGAACAGTAAAAAGTTTCAAAAAATAATTAGATTTTTTGTCTGTTTTTTTTTTTGGATTGTTCTTCGTTTTTTGAGGAGAACTGCAGTCGTTTATGAATAATGACTCATTTACTGAAGTTGTATGTTTTCATTTCTTTTCTTTACACCCACACAAATAAAGGTAACAAATTCATGAAAAAAAAACATTTTAAACATTTTTTTTTACAAATGTGGTCTTGCAGAGATGTGGTCTTTTTTCTGTGCTGCTTGCAGAATTTTTCTGTGCCTCTTCTCCTTTTGAAATTTTGGCTCGTAGCATGCAATAACTAACAATAAACTCGGAAATTTTGTTAAAGAGCAAATTGAGTAAAAGATCGTCTGTTGCAGTTTTTTCAAAAACAAGTTTGCAAGCAAGTTGGACTTTTCTAGTCGTCATTTTCAAACATTTTTCTTTAATTATCAGGGCTTAAATATTTATGGACGTTTCAATGAATTGTTTTCTATTACTTTAATTTGCTTCAAAAATGCGCCGTCACTTAAGCACAAATATAAGCTCTTAAATTATTTAGTCTATTATTCAATGTCTATTTCTTTATTTAGTCTATTTCTGATATTTTCCTTAGGTTGCTCTCTGACCTGGACATGTTCATGGACTCTTTCATAGTGGCCGATCTGCCCAATCCAGTCATAATAGACAACAAGAACATCAGGGTAATATGGGTCACACACACTACGCTCTACAAGGAGAGTCAGAGAAATCCACAGTTCACTTTTGCACAGGTTATTTAAATACTTTTATCTCTCTTTTTTAAGTGAGACTCAATTGAATAAAAACGGCATAAAAAAGGACAAAAATGTTAACAGCCATTTGTCAATAACTATACTGGATACAACATTTTTTCTATAATTTTTCTTTGGGATTTTTTTTTTCGTTTTTTTTCTAACTTTTCCAGTTTTTATGAGGAAGTTTGAAAAAAAGAGCCAATAATCAGAGCGTCCTAATTTCAAACATCTAATTTGATAAAAACAATCTGCAATTGTTTTTTTTTCAGCCGGAGTTCGATCTCAAACTACATTCCAAACTATTTGCCAGCAAAGAGGCCAACCAGAAACACAGAATCCAAATAATCCTCTTCAACCAAAACTCTCTCTTTCTCTCACAGCGAATCTCTTCATTCGGACAACCTGTCCCAGAAACTGAGAACTCTCCCAAGACAACTAGAATATTAAATGTGAACATCAAAGGGCGGAATATTGAGGCAGCCAGCAGTGAAAGTATCCAGATCAGTTTCCAAGTTCCTTACGAAGACGTAAGTTGGGCATAATTAAATTGTCATACCAATTTTCAGAAACCATTACAACAAGTTTAAATTTTTTAGCCGAGCTAGCCAACGTGTTGCTGCCTAAAGTTTTCTAAAATAAATCTACCAAAACAATAAAAAGATTACTTTTTAGGATTATTTTTTAGTTTTTTTTTATCAAAAATTTCTGCATGATTTGTTCATCAGTTTTTTTGTGAGAACTTTGGGAGAAAAGTTTTATTTGCAATTGTTGTAATGCAAGAATTTGCAAGTGATAAACTCCATGATTGCAAAAGTTTGATCAAAACATTCGTGAACCGATCTGAAGAAGTGGTTCAGATCATATCTCAACTTAGAGACAGAGAAAATGGTCACAAATCGTCGCAGATCACACGTCATAGCAAGAGATAATTCATCGCGAATTGAGAAGCGGCAATCTGTCGCAAACCTATTTAATCAGGGCTCATTACCTAGCTCTGTGAAACATTCCATTTTGAATACAACACTCGTTAAGGCACGGCGGTTTGTTTGCTGTTTATTTTTACATCAAATTATTTCAAAAGCAAAGAATAGTCACCCGGGTTGACCGAAAATTCTAATCGTAATTTTTTATAAGAAAAATGCTAGTCATACACTTTTCAAGCAATTCCATAGGCACAGAAAACTGCATGGAATGTCTATGATTATTGATTTTTTGTATATGGAAATTGTATGACTAGCATTTTTCGGTAAATTAAAAAACTTGATTTTTCGTAAAAACTTAATCTCTCAGAACGGTGGTGTTTTTGGGTGTTGTTCGTAACAACACAAGTGGCAGAGACCTTGGTTACTTAAAAGTAGAGTCACAACAAGTTTGACCATCTTGCAACTTTAATGTTTCGGAAATTGCCTGATATATCCTAGATTTGTCTTACACAATTGACATAAAGAAAGAAAATTGATTGAATTTTTGACCGAAGTTTTCAACTATGATTTTTTTAAACTTGAGTTTTAAATTAATGATCAAGGCAAAAAAAGTTTGCCATAGAAAATAAATAGGTGTTTTAAATGTTTTAGAAAAAAGCTATCAAGAGAAACCGAAAAAAACTCAACTTTTGTGTATCCAGGACTACGTTATGCACACAAAAAGTTAATTTTTGCATGCTTTTTTAAAACATTTTTTTAAAGTTCAAAATTCTTTTCGCCATCAAAAAAAAATGAGGGGTACTTTTGAAAAAATTTTATTTGTTATTTTATGATGATAAAAACGACTAATATGCCACAACAAGAAAAAAGATGACTTCATTTTAGCAAAATTTGTTTTTTCATAGACTTACTTAATGGAATTGTATGATTAGCATTTTCGGTCTATGGAGGTCAACCCAGGCAATTGTCCTATCATAAAAAAATGTTGAAATTTAGCTTTTTCAATCAAATGCAAAATTTTTTTGTGAACAAATTGCTTTGTTATCACTCTGACTTTATGCAAGGAAACAAAAAAAACACCAATGATTGATATACCCCATTGGGATTCATTTTTTGCCCTTTTTAGGCTCCTCTTGAAATGTTTTCACCAAAAAGAGCGTTTTTTAAGGCGTGCTTCCAATTAAGGAGAGTTGTAATTGTTGGCAAGTGTGTCTTAAAATTTTAAAGTTTGGTTGACCATACAAATATGGCTTAAAATTTTTTTAAAGGGGGACCTTGTGATTAAGCAGTTGGCCAAGCCATTGAGGAGAAAGGGTCCTCCCCTTCCTCACCCCTCGCCAGACATATGCCATTTTTTGATATATTAAAAGCCGGGAACCACGCCGTTTCAAGCAATTTATGGTTTTTAGATAAACATAGTTTTTTAGATAAACAATATTTTATGGAGACATATTTTTGTTTTTATGCTTCAATTAAGGAACAAAAGTGTCATTCTGGAGCGAACGACGTCTAGAACGGATGAACATCAATTTTCTTGATTCTACAAAAAATGATTTTTGGTGTATATAACTTCCTTGTTGAAGCAATGTCAAATACATTTCTGTCCAAATTAGTTGCAATAAGCTAACTTCTGCAAACCTTTACAATCAGTTTCTAACCAGCCAGTATACACATTTTATCAAACATTTAGAGATGTTTTTTAAATTAAGAAATTGTGATTGGTGAATGTTTCGAAATATTTTGGTTTTAAGACGAACTTTTTCAATGCTCGAACGTTTTCAGTACTTCGCAAAAAAAATAGTTTCCGCAACTAAAAATTCACTTGAACGCAAAAAAATCAAGAATTGGAATAAAATTCAGATCTGTCAAAACTTCATTATTTGAATTATTAAGTATCAAACAAAATGCATTAATTATTGTCGTATATTTTTCCGTTTTGGTTTGCAGATTAATTGTTAATTTTCCAACTTTATGAAACTGGTAAATTCTAATGTGATAATATTAAACAGCTCTCTCTGTTGCATTTTGATGCTCCAAAGAACATAATGTTTTTAATTTACACATTAATTTTTTTAGATCGACCGAATTAATTTTCAGTTAACAGTTTTTTAGATCGACCGAATTAATTTTCCGAGCACTCTCGAAGCACTATAAAAAAATCTATTTTGACAAATTTTTCTGCGCCGCAGACAAGTTTTTGGAAAAAAAACATCCCAAAAAACAATGTTTTTAGGCATTTTTTGGAAAACTTGACCAAAAAAATGAGTTTTCTCGGCGTGCACTTCCCTTCAAAATTAGTATATTTTAGCGCAAATCAACGCCTTTGGAAAAAAATTTAGGTTTGGTCGGTGAGTAGGTCTAATCCCTGATTTTTGTAGTTTCTCAAATGGCTGATTTTGCACTGAGAATTGGTTAAATTGATTTCTTTTTGTTTTGCCCTATCTTATCGTTGGGAAAAAACTGTTACCGAAGAAAAAATTCACCAATATAGTAATGTTATACTGCGAACGATTGAGTTTTTCAATGATTGTGAGCACAGAACGCTGTAAACATGATCGAGGTAAAAAGTATATATTACAAAGTTAATTGCTTTTTAATTGCTTTTTTAATCTGACTTCAAAAACAATGCTATAATCAAAACACATAGCCATTTTTATGGAAAAAAAGAAGTTGTGCAACATTAGAAAAATTATATATTTGGTTTTGAAGGAATAAGCAAAGAAACCGAGCAAGAGTTTTTCTTCGTGGCTTGTCTATTGACAGACGCTGAGACAAATTGAATTAAGTCAGCACGTAGGTTGACTCTTGTTTTTTAATCATACCTTTGAATTTATTTCTTCATTTTTACAGGTAGTTTCTTTTTTCCGTTTTACAATTGAGGCCTACTTTTGTTTTTTTTTTTAATTTCAATTTGAGACCTGTTTTTAGTCATACGAAAGTTTTTAAAATCAGTCCAACAAAAGTGTTCTAAAATTGTTATTTGTATTTCAGAAATTCATATACCATTGCGCGTTCTGGCAGCCAAGCAGTAAGTAATAACTATTATTCATCCTCTAAAAACTAAACATTCACAGTTTTCTTCAGAATTTTGAGAAAATGGGGCTCTTTTCCCCACATTTCAGTTTCAGTTTTGAAAAAAAAAACTACTGTAGACTTGTCATAATACAATGAATTTTGGCATGGTTAACAAGGTAACAATTGTGAACAGATTTGTCCTTTATACCTTACTCATCATAACATCAAACGTTTAGCCATAGTAGCACATAAAACCGGCCTTTCGATTCAGAAGCGGAGACTTTAGCCACTTCACCACTTCTCCCCAAAACTGACCTGGTTTGTCAGAGGCCTTGCGTAAAATTGTAAGCCAGTGGTCAAAACGATCTATTAAAAATTCTGAAAACAGATTTTGGCCAATACGTTTTTAAAAAATTGATTCTAAAAAATTGATTCTAAAAAATTGATTTAATAATGTACAGAAGCATTAGATTGAAAAACACTTTTGAAAACTCAGCACCTTCCGATATCAAAAATTTTACCAAGAAAGCTTTTTGGGAGCATTTTTAGTTTGCAAAGTGAAGTTACTCGGCTTTTTTTCAGATCGCAAGTGGGAGACAGTTGGACTGGTCACTGAAGTGTTCCAGAACAGCACTGTCTGCAAATCCACACATCTCACCAGTTTCACTGTCCTAAAGGTACAATTAGCCGAAACACTATTTAATGATAATAACAATCGTAATAATCATAATAAGAATACTTTTTCCATCCGCAATTAGTTTCTTATTTGATTGGGTGATTTATTCAGCCAAAAATAGACTTATATTTTTGAGCATCTCCTAAATTCGTCAGAAGAAGGATACTTATAAAAATTCGTGACTATAGTACACTATAAAGACCCTAGTTCGACCAAAAACTGTGCGCCCTTTGGTTGGCGAGGGGATCGAATCACTGAGAACAATACGTCCGCCCCCACCCCCGCCTCCCCTCAAAGCCACCCTTGCTGAAAATAACTGTTTTCGTTTTCTTCTAATTGACGATGCTTACAATGTTTAAGTTTAAAGGCAGAATTTAATATGAGGAAATTTCGTAAAATTCCTATTCAAGATGCCGATTTTTGCATTCTCGCAAGGAGCTTGCGGGTTAATTGCGTCATCAGTACCTCTCAAAACGTAAAAACTGACTTTGATGGATTTTAATGTGATGAAAAAAAAACGGATAATGTTAGGTCAGACTTCGTTGACACTTTTTGCTTTTAGAATGAAACCTCAAAAAAATTGCCCATTAGAAAAAAAGCGAACATTTTTTCATCGAAAAAAATATGTATTGAACAAAAATAAATGAAGAAAACTCCGATCAAATAATTGCAATGAATTCATAGCGTCAAAGATTTTGCATTTTTTAAAAAATTTTCCCCAGGGTACCCTAGGGTACCAATGAAAAATATCCATCCGAAATAACAGAAAACTAATTGAAAATAAGCAAATTATTCATCAGGCACGATTTCGCCTCTTGCAATAGAGATCCAAGTTTTGACTTATATTTGTTTAGATATTATTTTTACTTGACTTGTTTAGCAACTCCACAAACCAGTTGTGATCAGAGTACGTATTAATAAGCTTACCATTGTCACTTTATTAATTCAACGATCCGTAACAAACTTGGACTTTTAGTATAGTTATTTTATCACCTGGTCATAATCATTACACAACTCATACTTTCAAGGTTATAGTGATTACCAAATTTAATGTCCAACGCATTAAAACTTAGAAACGTATGGATAATGTAGGTCAGAGTTTTGGGCCAGGTTTTTTCTAAATTGTTTGAATTTTGAATGAGCACGGAAAAACCAGAAAATTCTGGACAAATGGCAATGGACAAATGACTTAAAATTCAGACTTTTCTCTGAATATCAATGCGTTGAGCATTAAATTGGTAGAAATGCTATAAGTATAACGTTATAATGCTGATAACTTTCCCGGGAAAACCAATTAAACCAATTAGACAAACAGGGCAACAAATTTTGAACAAAAATGACTAGAAAAACAAAAAAATTTAAAACTTAGAAACGTATGGATAATGTAGGTCAGAGTTTTGGGCCAGGTTTTTTCTAAATTGTTTGAATTTTGAATGAGCACGGAAAAACCAGAAAATTCTGGACAAATGGCAATGGACAAATGACTTAAAATTCAGACTTTTCTCTGAATATCAATGCGTTGAGCATTAAATTGGTAGAAATGCTATAAGTATAACGTTATAATGCTGATAACTTTCCCGGGAAAACCAATTAAACCAATTAGACAAACAGGGCAACAAATTTTGAACAAAAATGACTAGAAAAACAAAAAAATTGTACAAATTTTTAGAAAAAAATTTTGCAGAAATTTTTTGAAGTTTTTAATTCAAAATTGTAATAAAAATTCCAAAAACTAATTTTAATCGCTGCTCGGTCTAAGACGAAAAATCAAAAATTCTCAAATGTCCTTTTTAATGTCATTCGAATCACGACTGGAAGAGCTTTAATATGATATATCACTGAACTATCTCCGATGATTGTTTTTGTGGTAACTGACTTTGCGTGGAAAACAAAAAAAAATCAAAATTTAGGACACACCCGAATACAAAACAAAGTTCCTCCCCATTTTTCAAATGATCGGAACAATAAAATTGAAACCCTATAAGAAAACAATTTCAGTAGCTTGGGTACCGTCTATAATTCGCTTCACACTCCAACTTTGTAGCAGTACTCAAGGGTTATAAGACCACATCAAATAGGTAAAAAGCAATTAAAAGATGAGTTTATTGTTCCGACTTTCGATACGAATGTAAAAGAAAATTTCTGCTCGGGGTGTTTTTTTTTCCAGACAAATTTCAACTTTTTAACTATGCCTTTTTTGACAACCTTTTCTTATCATTTGAAAGATATTGTTGTCCTGAGCTCAAATTTGAAAAGATATTTTATCCATGATCATTTTTTGTAAAGTTATGGGGGTTTAAAGATTGCCATTTTTGGCCAATTTGGGACAATTAACTCGCGAAATATTTCGCGCTTATAACGCGTAAGCGGAGATTTTGTCCGTCTTAGAAATCGTTCCAAATTGGTTGAAAGAAGCTTATTTGCCATAACTGATTTGTTACAAGGAGCAAAACTTATCATTTTGTACGTTATATGGCGTGTGGAGGGATGGTTTTCATTAAAAAAAAAATCAAATTAAAAAAAAAGTTTCATTTTTTTTACCTTTAATTTTTTAATGTTATTACTGCTCCATAAACCTTAAAAGGCAGTCGGAACATTCAGGGCTTTGCCTTGATACGAGCAGTTTTGTTTCTTATTCGATTCCGCGTCAAATGCGGAATCTTCAATCATTATTGGGGATTCTTGGATAATCTCTGTCGTGGAACTCATTGCACGCCTGTGTTCTTATTTATTTTGGGGCTATTTAAAACGGTTTAACTAACGCAAAGTTCTCTGCGTAAGATATTTTTTTAGCTGTTCTAAGTTTTAACAAATCTTTCCTGAGCTAACCTAAATTATAGCCTCATAGTGACATCCACTTTTGGCAGATTTTCTGCACAGCAACTACTTGGCTTTGTAATGCGTTATTACTGCATAATGATGACCGGGCCTCTTTACCAGACCGATTTTTCTCCAAAAAAAGCTATAACCTGGATTTTTTATCAATTTCGATCGATAATAAAATTGATTGACAAATCGCCGTTTAATTTGGGTAAAGACAATGATTTAACGATTTCTCAGAGAAGTTTTGCTTGCTTTTTCCGCTCTCTTTTTGAATCGTCTACTAATTTAAACTTACCTTAATTGAATTATTGTGGTCTGCTAAAAGGTCGGTCTGGTAAAATACTTAAGCCCCCCCGTACAAAACATACCAGTTCGTACAGTTAAAAGCAAACTGAAATCTTTTTCGAGATTAAAAAGATATAGTCACATGATTTTTGTACTAATGATGTTACTCGCTTTGGTACAAATTGTTCAAAAAGATGACGCTGCAGTTTTATGAAGTTTTGCTGCCGGATTTGAGTCAACATTGGCCTTTATTAGGGTATAACTGAGAATTAAAATTTGGCAAATTAAAAAACTTTATAATCATTCTGGCTGATAAAAAATTTCTGTGTACATCACTTTTTGTCTAAACAACGCAATTGGATGCAATTAAGTTTAATGTGTGAAGTTTAATTGTTCTGCCCTGATGAGTTTAATCAGCATTGTAACTTGGCTTGTCATCAATTGGCCAGAAGCCTCAGTAGTCAGCAAGAAATCAGATAAAAAATAAATTGAAACTGTTTTTTTTTATATTAATTTTTGATCCCAAAATTCTGAGGTTTGGGCAAAAGTTTTCAGTATCGATGAAAAATGAGCTTACCACTCAGTAGATTCAAAAAATTGTACAAAAATTATATTTTTC